TTCACGTAGTCTTTATTTGCCCTACCCCTAGAGTGTTTTTGTAAAACCGTAAGCGCTGAGGTAGAACAGCCTCCGCTCGCTGTACCATATAGCAGGCATATTAAAAAAAAATATTTTTACTTTTCGGGTTATCTCGTAGAGATCTATGCGAATCCACCTTCACATCGTGGCGCCGTAAGAATCGTAGTCGTGCTGTATTATGAGGCGTATTCAAAGGATTTAAAAATAATAATTAATATTGGATTGACAGTTATTAGTGATTTTCAGATACTAAGCAAATTTAGAAAAAGGAAATAGCGAATTACGCTCCACATAGTATAAGGAAAACAATAAAGGTCTTGTATTTATTTTGGTTAATAAAAGGATAAAACTATTCAAAAAGTAATTGATATCTATTTTCTACCAAAGACATTAACGTCAAAACATACGATGCATGATGACTTCGATGATAAGAATTGAAATCTAAATGGGTACATAGTTCTATAGCAGTTTCTTAAATCATAGCTATAAGAATGTACAACATTCTTCAATTGATTTAATAGAAAAGTGTGTTACGTTATTTGGAATTGAATTTGTAACTTGGCAAAGTTTTATATCCAACTAAATTTTAGTATAAAAAGAACTAAAAACGTTGAATTTTAAACTTGTATTAAATAATATGTTAAATATAATTTATTATACATATTTTAAAAAATAAGTAATGAAATGTGAAGTAAAAATACCTTGGAAATATTTCATTTTATTGTTTTATTATCAATCATAATAAACTTAAAACTAAACTCAAACTAATTATTTATATTCACTGACATCCATGAATACCAGTACGCTGGACTGGCTGTACCCTACAAAACGTTTTTGCTGATTTGAAGCGCCGCCATTGAGTGTACCGGGAACTAAATTTGACATATTGTTTTGCACAATATGTTTAAGAGTATTTTAAAGGTAGAAAGAGGTTTCATGTTAGTAATATAACAAAAAGTATTGTTAGTAACATTGATAATGTAAAACTCGTTACCAGAAAGGGGGTTTCGTAATATTCCACAAGGGGATTTAGTTTATATTAAAAAATTAAAATATAGGTACTTAAAAATTTGTCACATATTATTAAAATAAATGTGATTACTTACATATTTGCCCTTAAAGTAGATAAAGCAATATGGAACGCCTACGTACCCGACGGGAGTAGCCATATGCATGCGTTCTGTGCCACGATATAAGGTCACAGAATAAATAGTAGTAGTATGCACGAACAGAAGTTGCGCTCATTTGATGTTCACTACTTGCCGACGTTTTAAGTGTCTACATAAATATTATTAATAATTATATAAATCACGCACGCAAGCTAAATCACACCTTATCGCTGAGCGAGTGTACGTACGGCTTTGCATCTTTTCCTCTTCCTACGTCACAGATGATATTTTGTGGTTATCAAGGGCTTTCCACAAAAAGTAAAAAAATACAGTACGTATACCAATTTTTCAGAACCACCAATTGTCATTTAATCTACCAGATGACAGACTTCTCATAACGTATTACGATGTCTTTAATTCCACTCCACACTATTCCTGATTCGTTGATAAAGGGTGTCCAGTGGCAGATTTCAAAGTTTGAAAAATTATAAAAAAAGAACGACACGTTTTATGCAAAGTATTTTTATTAAAATATAAAGAACATAAAGGCGGATTTTATTTTTTGAAAACAACGTTTTCTAATTGGCGGCCATCGACCCTAACACACTCCTCGAGTCTGGAACGCATGTTTTCGAAAACTCTTTTTCAAAGCGACTGGGGAATCTTGCTGATTTCTGCTCGAATGTTTTCTTTCAGCTGTGTCACAGTGGTCGGATTTGTTTTGTAAACGATAGATTTTTAGTATCCCCATAGAAAAAGTCACACGGACTTAGGTCTGGTGACCTGGGAGGCCACGGTATGGTGCCGTTCCGGGATATGATTTTTTCGGGAAACAACTCTCGCACTGCACTCATGGCCACATTAGCAGTGTGAGCTGTGGCCCCATCTTGCTGGAACCACGTATTCCGGTAACAGTATGGACTATTCTGTAATTCTAGTCTAAAAAAATCACTGATCATCTCAGCATATCTCTCGGAATTTACTGTTACAGTTTGGCCACGTTCATTTTCGAAGAAATAAGGCCCTATTATGGCAGACGCAGATATTGCACACCATACTGTGACTTGGTTTGTGTAAAGGCTCTTCATGCAATTTTCTCGGGTTGGAAATATCCCAATAACGAAAATTTTGTTTATTTACATATCCTCCGATGTGAGAATGGGCTTCGTCACTGAAGAATATGTTACCCATCCGAGTAGCAGTTTTAAATCTCAACAACATCGTCTCTGCGTAAGTTTTCCTTAATTCAAAGTCAGATTCGAGTGAATTTTTGGACGATTTGGATCTTATAAGGATGGAATTTAAGTTTTTTTCGCATTATTACCTGTAAAGTTGATTTACTAATACCCAAAATCGATGAACGTGCACGAAGTGATAAACGAGGATTTGCAATCACAGAAGCCATAACACGTTCGACATTTTCGTCCGTGGCTACCGTTGGTGTTGGTCCTGGTCTGTGTCTATTTATTGTTGATCCCGTTGCTCTAAACCTTGCTACCCAAGACTGAATCAGGTTGATTGATGGTCCATCACGAACTCGACGAATACCGTAGTGATTATTAAATCGACGACGGGCTTCAGACAGCGAAAATCCACTCGAAAAGTACACCTCGACGGCAAAAGCACGGTGCTCCCCATTCCACGGATCCATGGCTACTAAAAAATCCGCATCGCTTGCGCGTCGAATAACCCCCTCCGCGCCCTTCTCCTACGTTGCGTTCGAAAATTAAGTCTGTTCAAAGTTTGAAATCTGCCACTGGACACCCGTTATATGCTTGCTCAACATCAAATCCTTCACATGGGAGTTTTTTTTTTGATAGTTTACTGTAGATGATGTGTTTGATTAAAAAAATAGGTAAGTACATATTTATCAAAGAGTAATTTCTACTATTTTATTTTTGAAAAACATCTTTGGTGATGATTACGGGTCACCAATTAGAGTAGAATAAGTAGAAGCGAGTCGAATGAGTAAATACGAGTAGAATGTCTTATTAGAAAAATGTGATTCCTTATATATTAAAATTTTACAAAATGTACAGCGTTTTTAACCAATAAAACTGTCTTCTTTAAAATATTTAAAATGTTAAGATTACAATTATCTTACTTCTGATACTATGCATTTGTCTCATTCTCTCGAAATTAAGTTTTCTGAAGGTTTCCATTCTACCGCGTGTGTCCTGCACACGTTTTTTATTCACTGTGTAAATACATGGGCGAAATTGTTCCTAGACACTAGGACTTCGCCTTTATCCCTAAGGACCAAATTTATACCCTCGGCGCACTAAGATCGAGCGATCTTTTAGAGACAAGAGCCCTATGGACAACAACGTTCATAGAACCGTGACGGGACAACTTACTAGCACTTCTCTGATATAAAAGTCCGTGAAGCTCAATCCCGTTGACGCCGCTACTACAAAAGCCCTGACGAAGTTGATAGCAAGCTTTCCCCATCAAGTAATGTGCCGAAGTTACTTCATGGTACAGCGTGTAAACAAAGACTAAATTCCATATTCAAAACAGCTAGAAAAGTTAAACATAATTTAATAAAAGTAAAGTTAAAGTAAAAAAGTTATCTAACATCAAATATGTACATTATGTACTTTAAATCAGATTCTACGTGGTAGATTTTTCTGTTGCACGAATGGGCCGGCTCGATCGGTGAAGACCCGGTGATCTATCCCCTTCCAAAACATGAAGGCTGTGTTAAAAAGAAATCTACCCTAGAAGGGTACCAGTAAGATGATCCTGGAGTATCCGTCGTTGGGTCGCTGGTCATCCACAACCAAAGTATCTTCCTCCCTGACGTGGATGTTATGGGAGGAGGCATATCTCCGCTCTGTACGCGTATTATTTGAGGCAAACACTGCAAAATAAAGCCTCCCGTGCTCATCTTGAATTTTTGCAATATAAGGGGACTCACTGCCTAATCCGGAGTACGGTGCCCATCACATGCTCATTGCAGGCGCGATTTGTAGGCTGCCGCCATGTGTGGCACTCTAGATCAACGAATTGGTATGGGATGTAGGTTTTTTTTGCATTCTATCCATGGGGTGGATTTGCTTCTCGCTGGATGATCCCAACGTCATTGCTGATTCCGTACCCGATGTGGTACTTCAGGGAATGGAATTTTTTATTGTATCATCTGTGGTGCCTATAGGCAGACCCCAGTGGCCACTCCTGTAAAATTGCGTCACGCTATAAGCAGGAGTGCTACAAAGCAAAGTCAGAGCACATGTGCAGAATTAGCGAAAAACTCTATTATTAACTGCCAGCTCGTGAAGTACTTTCAAGAACATTAGCTGATCAGTGACCGTCAGTAAACACGGTTTCCGGAGGTCTCTACTGGTGATCTTCTTGTGTACCTGACTCACCGCTGAGCAGAGGCAGTCGAGCCCTGACTGTTAGTTTGAACATAGCGAAGGCCTCCGATTGGGTTTGGCACAAAGCGCATCTTTCGAAGCTTCCTTAAAGTTTGCAGTTTTACAAAATACACTAAGTCTAGGATATATAGACATTGATCCCTTTGCCCAAATTTTGCGTTAAAAAAATTCAGACCATTCAGGATCAGCTGCAGTCGCAGAAATAAATAAATAAAATTCAAACTGCTATACAAAATACTTCTTTTTCTTTTGGTTAAAGTTGTTAACGTTATCTTACATGTGCCTACTTTCTTCGTGTGCGATTTCAAGGTGAATAAGTAACAGATTAGTAGATTTGCTATTGTTATGTTTTTATGAGCTTGAGTAATTAAAATTATTTCGGTTCGTTTTTAGAGGATTTATAAGCAAGATACTCTAAGGGTTCAATTTACTTTATTCTGTCAATTCTTCGCAAGCTTGCAAAATTGGTTGCTCGTGCAGATAGTTCAGAATGTTTTTTGAATTACTTTTGTGCCTCTTCATTGGCACAACCTTTGGAAATGTGGATAAACGTAAGTTTTATTTACCCTCAATGTTGCTTAAATCGTGTATGTTTTGTATAATATCTGGCACAAGTGTTATTAAAAATATAATGGATATTTGGGTTCAAATTCTGTAAATACTTGCACCTTATTAAATATATCTTTATATTTGTGCTTGTGTGATTTAAAAATTATAAATTTATCTCGTTTATTTTGTATATTACTTATATGATCAATTTGCTACGAAAAGTAAATAATTTTGTTGGACACCTTATGACCCATCCGCCAATGACTTACTAGTGTTAAAAATAAAAATAATCTCATCCGTCTATTGTCAACTTCCTATTACATTAATGATTTTTTGTTTTGCTCGGGGTTTCCCTGCGTGATAAACTTAGAAATGAGGATATCTGCAGTAGAACCAGAGTGACCGACATAGCCCAACGGATTAGTAAGCTGAAGTGGTAATGGGCCGGCCATATAGCTCGAAGAAGAAAGTGGGAAAAAAGGTTCTCGGGTGGCAGCCTCGTACTGATAGGTGAAGTGTAGGGCGACCCCTCACTACATGGAGTGAAAACTGGTAAGACATGCAGGAAGTCGATGGATGCAGGTGGCTCAGGACCATGCTTTGTGGCACATCTTGGGGAGGCCTATATTCAGCAGTGGTCTTGTGAAGGGCTGTAATGATGATGATGATGAAATCGTTTGAGTACTCAAAGAATAAATCTGATTCTGTATTTTATTATACATATTTTTTCTCTTATTTTAAATTCTATATACTTTGAGTACTCTGTAATAATCAGTTGTTGGACATTGACGTCATAGTAATAATTTTTCTATTTTTACCCTCAGCTTGTAATTATTCTGATCTATGCAACAAGAGCTTACCATGGTACTTACATTTGATGATTATTTTTATTAAATAGGTCATACTTAAGGGATGGTCCCATCTAAATCTATATAATATATTCACCCCTTACCTAGGTGTGTCAAAATAGGGGATGAAGTTTTCAATGTAACAATCTAGACAACCCCCGTTCCACTCAAAAGCCATTTTTTTTAAACAAAAGTTGGGGCTATATTTCTCGTATACACTATGTCTCGCACCTACTTCAGAATTTAAAATTATTTCATTCTTATTAATTATTTGAAGTTGGATTTTACTTTATAAAGTTAATTTTGTAAGTCTCCATAGCCCCTAGATTTGATGGCCAAATTGTTTTAATACCAACGGTGTTTAACTATATTTTTAAAATGTTAAAATCAAACCCTCAGGATTCAGTCTACCTAGTTACTTATCTCCAGACACCTTAATACTTATCTGCAGACTGATACATACCTGTTCAATACTCGGGCCACTAATACGGCTGTTAAATGCAAATTAAATAACATTAATTATTGTAAACAACTGGGTCTTGTAAAATGTAATCAATATTAAATATATAATGTAAGGAATATCAATTGTAAGAGAAAACAGAAGATACCATGTGGTGGCGATGTAAGTATATCCACTACCCCATATCATTCCGTGGGTGTCGTAAGAGGCGACAGAGGGAAACAAATCAGGAGATGGACAGCAGCGGCTTCCTAATAACAATTGGAAATAAAAACTGCGGTTGCCAACCCGCTTGCCAAACGTGGCAACTATAACCAATATCTCTCTATGGGAGAGCCCTGTGTTCAGCACTAGACATAATATGCCGTAACGGTAAAGTTAAAAAATATTTTTTTCTATTTCTTAACTTTACCGGAGGGGTCTTGATTATATACTCAATAAGTAAGGTTTTGTTGCAGAAAATCCACCACAATGGAACAATGTATACACCGTGAAAGGCGTTTTGAACATCCCTCATGCTGATGTACAAGAACCATTCCATGCTTGGTAAGTCTTATTTATATTATATTGAAAATACAATGGCGAACTCTTAAACAAATTTTATTGACATTTTTTCTTGCGTCTTCACATGAAAAATATGTAAAAATATAGAGTTGAAATCCTGAACATTTTTTCTTCAGTCAACTGCAGGGAGTCTAGAATTAAATATATTCCAGTTACAAAATTCATATCAGAATAGGATGTATGATATAAAAACTTTGCCTGCCTTCATTGGCAAATCGTTACAACAACAACAGCTAGACAATACAATTTTCAATTATGCTTAAATAAAGTAATTACTAGCATAGAGAAAATTCTGGAATAACGCATTAGTATATTGAGAAGAGTTTTGTTAATAAAATACACATCAGACTACGCTGTATGATGTAAGACCTTTGCCTTCTTTAATTGGTAAATCGTAACAACAACTAGTCAATTTAGTTTTAAATTAAATTATGCACGATAACTTTTCCAGATAGGCTACACAGTAATCTATGAGATAGGCCATAAGCTTGATTAGATAAAGAGATAATACATAGTAAATGTAAATAATTTAATTGATATCTGCAATGGTGACATAAGAAGACGCTTAATAATTCTAAATATCACAACCCACAGCAACTAGTCAATTTAGTTTTATTTTATTTAAATTAGGTATGATGATTTTTCCAGACTTCGATAGGCCATAACTTTGACTAGATAAAACATACTAAATTGTTTTATTGATCTGTAACGATGATATAAGTAGACGCTTAATAATTTAGCATGCAGATGAATTGCCGGCCTTTAAAGAGTAGGCCCTTTTGTTGAAGGTCCCTAAGTTGTATCGGTCCGGAAAAATCGCTGGTGGTAGTCGATTCCACAAGGAAGTTGTGAGAGGAAGAAAACTTCGCGTTGGTGGTGACCCGCCAATCATTCAGATGGTATGTATGGTACCTCGATTTAATCGCGATTTGCGATGATGAAATTGAGTGACTGGAATTAGTCCAAACAATTGCTCTGAACTCTTTAACGTTCGGCGGTGGACTGCCAACCGCCTAATGTGGATGGAATTTAGAGTTTTGTCGCGAGGACGCTTTTTGAATTTAGCAGCTTAAATTAATCTCCGAATAAGTTCTCGAATGTCTAAACACTCTTTGGTAAACGATAGAAAATGCAAATATGCAACGTCTCTTCGCGAGGCCAAACCAATTTTATACTACGCTTAATTGTTTAGTGAAAAACTGATTGAGTAAAATCGATTTTGTATTTAAAAAAATAATAAACGTTATCTCTTACGACACTCTCGGGATAATATGGGGTTATTTTTCTAACGCTGCCACACGGTATACACCGGAATACCTTACAGTCTGTATTTACACTGGCTCTATAGGAGAGTCTGGAGAGTCCAGACCGAAACACAGCAGTGTACGCACTATACACTATACTTGATGCTTCTTGACGACTGCCTCGTTGGCATAGTGGTTGTAGTAGTGCGACTGCTGATCATGAGGTTCTGGGTTCGAATCTCGGGTCGGGCTAAAAAATCGATTACTGAGTTCCGTCAAGACATTCTCAGTAGCTGCCCGGAATCAGGAAGTTGACGGTGTCTCACCCCCGTGCCTCGGAAAGCACGTAAAGCCGTTGGTCCTGTGCCTGATCTCTCTTCGGTCGTGTTGGTTTACCGTCCCATCGGATTATGAGAGTGAGGGAATAGAGAGTGCACCTGTGCTTGCGTATACACTTGGGCACTATAATCCTGTCCTGCTTCAATAGTCACCGTTGACGCAGGCCGCCGTGACTGAAAGTCGGTCTGGACATTTATTTTATACTTGATGTACTGCTGTTGATGGTAGAAATGGGTAGGACGGTTGTACATACCTGGACACATTCCTACTACCTACTTAGTTTATTATAGTAACAATACTTTTTCATACATTTTAGAATCATCCATTAATTCCAATACAGCCTAAAAAACGCTATTGCTGTACATAAAAATCTCCACATAGATTACCTCTCAGGGGATCCCCCCTTCTATAGTTGCCACGTTTGGTAGGCGGGTTTTCGACTGCAGATTTTTATAATTTTGAGTTATTGTCAGGAAGATACCAGGACGTCAGAACAGGGAATGGGCAATCTCCTGTTTAAGTATCCCTCTGTCGGCTATTAAGACGCCCATGGGACGATGCAGGGTAGTAGATATTCTTATACCGCCATCACACGGTTCACATTACTATAAAACACTCACACTTTAAGGGGAAATATAACCTCAAATGGCTTAGCAAGATCCTCCGTTATGCCGAAAGTACTGCAGCATTAATTTTGAAATAAATATATGGTAAAGTTGAGGATTAATGTTAAGGTTTATGTTAGACGAAAACACGATTCCGTAAAATTTTCTCGATCTGTCTTCTCGATCCTGTCGCTCCGCAGGAACCAAGCTTACGCGCCGATAGTTTAGGTAATTTCTTTTTTATAGTGAAAATAATGATATTTTAAAAAAGTAAATAACATAAGCACTGCTTTATGGTTAGTTCAGTTACTATGCAAAGTTTCATGATCTTATTTAAAGTATTTTATGAATAACAGCGGTTTATTGTTCAGTTTGGAGGTAACTTTGGATTTTTTTTCTATCGAGAAAATTTTACGGAATCGTGTTTTCGTCTAACATAAACCTTAACATTAATCCTCAACTTTACCATATATTTATTTCAAAATTAATGCTGCAATACTTTCGGCATAACGGAGGATCTTGCTAAGCCATTTGAGGTTATATTTCCCCTTAACACTCACACTCACACTCAATCTAAATAATATGTCATATCCTACTAGATACGACATAATATTTAGATTTTCTGTGAGAGGTCCTTATAAAAGGTTTCAGCTATATTAACCGCAGCACGGTTCTACCACTTATACTATTTTACGTATGGTAATACGATCGTGGCCATGCAGCAGCTATAATATATTATGGTTGAAGTCAAAAGAAATAGTATGGTGGACTCGACCGGAGCATAGCTCCAGCAATTCACGAGTGCAGTCGACCTTTGGAATCTTTGGATGTGGTTTGACATGTCGCACCAGGCACGCACACCGTAACACTGTGCATGTTACCGTGTGAAGATTGACCGCACTCGTGAATTGCAAGAACTATAGTATCATGCTCTCACCAAACCGTTTCACAGCAGCGTTTTTCTGCTGTATCACGCTGGTGACACGGCAGAAAAACGTACGTGTGTTTCGTACTGAGTGATGCGAACCGTAAATTCCTTATACTGGACACGAGGCATTCCCTTTTAGTTTTTAAATGGGATTTGTGATCGTTTGTCACCCTTATTCTTTATTAAAAAAATGGAAATGGCTGGGAATGCAAATATGTTGCCTGTACAGATTCAGATAACAGAGGCTTCTATACGTTAATATATCAAATAATTTTAAAAGTATTGAAATTATAATTGTTACGCTTGTTATTGTTAATTATAATAATGCAAGGTTATTAATTCGTCTCATTTACAAGTGTTATTATAATTATATTCCAATAACACTAATTTTATCGGATTTTATTTAACCCGTTAAAATAACTTTAATTAACGTGACTATACGAATACCGTGTAAAATGTTAAATATTATAATTACCGTATCGGGTTCCGGTGTAAGAATACACGCTACCGCATATCGACCCGTGTGTGTCATATAAGACGACAAAGGGAAACAAACCAGGAGATGGGCAACGGCATCTTTCTAATAACGATTAGAAAATGAAAAACTGCATTTGCCAACCCGCTCGCCAAGCGTGGCAAGTATGGCTATTAATGAATGTCCGCCAGACCTAACACGGCGGCTCGTCTCTACGGATGCTACCCAGGACAGGACGAGGATTATAGTGCTCGAGACTATGCGTAAGCATAGGTGCACTTTGGACAGGGTTACCACCCGTATATATAGTATCGTACTGTATTTCAGTGAATTGTACTACATATTATAGAAAAATAATATAGTACGAAAAATACTTTATTTTGGTTCCTAATTCAACTGTCGTGCTTTTTTATGTTAACTGTGATTGTAAGTCTGGAACAAGTTTTACGGAAATAATTTTTTCGTCATTGAGAGAAGAAAGAAATGGAGTATGTGTTAACTTAATTAAAAATTAATTGTTAATTTATTTTAATATGAATCTAAATTGCTCAGACTCCTATAATTTTTTAAAGGTAATAGATCACTGATGGCCGAAGCAAAGAGCAATAACAAATATACATGGAAAAATACATAAAAATTAAAAACTCGTAAATTTCTCAAAAGTACTATATTTTGGCATCTTTTTGAGAAAAATACTATATGTGTTCAAAAAAAGTGGCAACCCTAACTTGGGATGGGATGGTAATCCGACACGACTGGAGAGAGACCAGGCACAGGATTGCCGAATTCCTGACTACTGCTACTGAGAACTTCTTGACAAAAACTCCATAACTGATGTTGACTCGACCTGGGATTCGAACCCAGGGCCTCATGAATATCAACTGCGTTTACTACCACTAGAGCAACGAGGCAGTCTAAAGCTAACATCCCCCTTTATGAGGTAATCTAAGGGGAGGCCTATGTTCAGCAGTGAACTTTTATGGGCTGTGATGATTGAAAATGAAAAATACGAATAGTGATGAAGCTGGTGTAAGAGAATAAAAACATTATCACATTAGGTACCGTGCGCGTCTTAAGATGTGAATATGGGAACAAGTTACAGCCTATAAAGCTATAAACATCCCACTCCTGGGCCTAGGTCTACTTTTCTTTTTCTGATTTCTGAGAGGGATTTAGGACAAGGAATTGTCCACCGCGCTGCCCCAATGTGTGATGGCGAACTTCACATGTCTTCGAAATAATTTTTTTTCTTACTTCTCAGACATGCAGTTATCCTTACGATGTTTTCCTTCACCGCCGAGCACGTGGTAAGTCGGCACTTAAAATTGCAATTAACAATTTCATTAGTGCCGGCGGGGATTGAACCCGATTTGCTCGCGTACTGTGAAATTTACAGCGAGCGCTGTAGATGGCGGTATTACCGACTCGTTTACACCAGACGTAAATGGGTAATACGTGGTTAAGCCATGCTGCAGCTATATTAGCAACAGCATGGCTTTACCATTACGTCCTACCGAAAGTTCACTGCTTAACATAGGTACCTCCCATAGGTGCCTCATAGGGGGATGTTTGCCATAGTTGCCATGCTTGGCAAGCGGACTATAGGACACAGCATTCACTTACCGGAAAACTGTGTGCTCATGAAGTCCACATTATTCTATATAAAAAAGCATAAATTATGTGTACTCTGAGAACCCCAGTTAATTTTAACGCTGATGTCCATGTACCGGAAGTTAGAAAAAATAAACTTTTTGTTACAGGTACGACGGCAAGAATGGCAAGTCCCGGATTGACTACTACGGCAACATGGTCAGGACTTACCAAATGTCTCCCTCCGTTTTCCCTAAGTATGGTGCTTCCTTCATGGTAAGAATCCAAAAAATAAGTATTTTTAATTGCTCCAGGAGAGCAATATAAGGATTGTGGCTATGTTTGTTTTTATGTTATTTCTTTTACGTTAAATTTGTTTACTGATGGCTACTTATAATCGTTGATTTTGATTGATGACTGCCTCGTTGGTCTAGTGGTTGTAGTAGTGCGACTGCTGATTCTGACCTGGGTTCGAATCACAGGTCGAGCCAAAAATCAATTATTGAGTTTTACCGTCAAGAAATTCTCAGTAGCTGCCCGGAGTCAGGAAGTTGGCGGTGTCTCACCCCCGTGCCTCGGAAAGCACGTAAAGCCGTTGGTCCTGCGCCTGATCTCTCTCCGGTCGTGTCGGTTTACCGTCCCATCGGATTATGAGAGTGAGGGAATAGAGAGTGCACCTGTGCTTGCGCGTATACTTGGGCACTATAATCCTGTCCTGCGCCGATGGCTAGCCTCCGTTGAGGCAGGCCGCCGTGACCGTTGCAACGCTTCGCCAACACATCGTGTGGCCTCTTAACGATGCGCACAAGATTGGAAGTTACTAAGAAGAATTTAAATTGTTTAAGAATAAAAATATGAAGGTAGCTTTCAAGGTCAAGGCCAACCATAAACCAACAATTTTAAATTTACCATAGCGCACAATATCCGCTGTAGAACTAGAGTAACCGGCATAGCGCAGCGGATTAGTAAGCTGAAGTGGCAATGGGCCGGCCATATAGCTCGAAGAACCGATAACCGATGGGGAAGAAAGGTTCTCGAGTGGCAGCCTCGTACCGGTAGGCGTAGTGTAGGGCGACCCCCCACTAGATGGCGTGACGACCTAGTTAGAAATGCAGGAAGTTGATGGATGCAGGTGGCTCAGGACCGTGCTTTTGGCATTCTTTGGGGGAGGTCTATGTTCAGCATTAGACTTGTGAAAAGCTGTAATAATGGTGATGATGATAGTATGAAAAACTAAATATTCTTGCTGATGCTTTTCGGTCATTCAAAATGTGGATTTGCAGTTTTTGGAACAATATTTCGGGAATTATAGACGCGAATTTGGAGGGAGCTCACTAGGCCTTTCGGTAGTTGTGACCGCATTTCTTTTTATGGAAGAAAAGTTCACTCATCGCAATGTAATTTTAACTAGTATAGAAGGATATAGCTATCTTATTGTGAGATATAGCTCACTCAGCTGTGTCCTCCTTTACTCCAGCTTCGCCGGAACATGTCCAAGCAGTCACTCCGCACCCGACAGCCAGTCCGATAGGCGACACACAGCCATTGTAGATACCTACAGCTCCGCAATGCGACGAATCACTCTTCATTTAGGCCGAAGGATTACTTTGCAAGTTCTATAAAATACAGGAACTTCTTAATTTAAATATTTATTGTCTTTTAATCTAAGCGGTTTGCATAATAGTACCGCATATCTTTGAATTTCATAGACAACTTAGTTTTGACGCAGCAGTGGCTTACCTGAGCTACCTTAATGAGTGGCTGCGCTGGGGGCCGCGGGTTCTAATCCCGTACGGTAAAAGTATATGTATGGCCTACAAATAATTGTTCCGGGTGTGGATATTTGTTCTTGTGCAATTTCTGTATGTAAACTGCATCCACGATACAGGAGGAAATCCTAGCGTGGGGGTAACGTTTTAAAAAAAACCTCCCCAAGTCTGGAAAGAATCCGTATTCTGAAGTGTAAATATTTTGTAATGACCTGATTTTAGATATAAGCCTGCTGTCGTTGTTACAGGTAGTTCCCGTGACGACTGAGACGGAGTTGAACAAGGACACTTGCCTCCACGTAACTGGCACTGCGGCAAGACGCATCCATATACAATCGGTTCTGCCCGACATGACGGGCTTCAAGTTTGTTGGTAAGTATATTATAGTATTCTTTTTTTTATAAAATATTAGTAATCTTATTAATTAAATTATAATATTCCTTTTACCACTCCTGGTAAGTTGAAATGCTTGTGTTAGGAGTAGTACAGTATAAAGAATTTGGCTCGCTGTAGGTTGTCGCCTTTTTAATTCCTTGAAGTCTTTACTTTTTATTTAAAAGTCTAATTTTTTATTTTTTGAAATGGACTTATGTGGAATATCACAAGTTTGAATATAGAAGTATGATATAAAAATTTATCTCTTATGTAACCTCAGTGGTGGGTTATTTTTTGAAAATTTTATGGAACCACCTCGAGAGTCTGAAATGAAAACAATACTCGATGATAGCGCGTAATATATGTACATTAAAAAAAGAACATACAGTCGAATTGAGAACTACCTCCTCGTTTTGAAGTCGGCTTAAAATGTTTGTTAGTTGTATTGATGATTTTAATTTTACAGGCACAGAAACGATACAAGATTCGGAAACTTCAAAATGGATGCTGGTCTATACGACTGGCGAAATGGTGACCAAGTACACCATGTGGGTGAAATACAGGAAGGGTCTCAAAGGAGGTCCACTGCCAATTCCCGTCAGGTATGATGCTGACTCAATAAAATATTTCGAGGACATGACTTATTTTTACAGAATATGAATGACAAGTGGGCACAAAACGCACAAATGCAATTAGTGGAAAGTGTGGCCTATAGACATCTAGATCTATCTTCAATTAAGAATCAATATAGCGAATGCGTTGTCACCCTGAAGACTAAGATAGAATGCCTCATTTCTAGTAATAAGGGTCTCCAGTTCGTCACTTATCATACGAAACACAGCAGTATTAAGCTGCTATTTTACGGTGGTATTCTGTGAGGTCTGCAACACGCACAGGCGCAACGCGGTGGACTATCTGCTTCATAACCCAGAAACGAGGAGGCCTGTGCCTAACACACGGATGTATTTAAACTGTGGCTTTATTATCTTGTTACAGTAAGTCCACCGTTGAAAGTAAACCCCTCCATAATTAGTGAGGATATTTGCTATTGTGGACAACCGGTTTGGCAACTGCAGTTTATTTTTTATTTTTAGTCGATATTAGGAAGACGTTGCTGCCCATCTGATCTGTTTCCCTTTGTCGCTTCTTTCCACAGCCACGGAATGATATGGGGTAGTGGATATTCTTACTGATGGTAACTATTTATTGGTTATAATTATTGCCATTAGGTTTTATGGACCATTTTCTTACCTAAGAGTAGAGACGTCGGAGTCTTTAGTCCCAAAATGCTAACCTCTTACTCCCCTCCCCCATCGTTTTCGCAAGTATAATCAAAAATATAAAATCGGAAAATATAAATGTTGTATTATTCGATAAGGAATAAAACAATATTATATTACTTTTATACTTCTTTATACCCCTGGTGTGAGTGTATGTGTTATAATCATAGGATACTATAATACACAATAGAATGGATGTCAACCTTATTTTGTACGAGGATAGGCGTGTCGGGAGCACTCATACAAGCAATTACGTCGTATTATTACTACTACAATCCCGATTCGCTTTGTTGACAGACTTATTTACTAATTTACACATTTTAGACTTCTGATTAATGTTCAAGATCATCATTAAAAAATCCTTTAAATTTTAATACATGTTTATGTGTAAAGAGTGTGCAATTGGGCATTTTCTAAATAATTTGCATGCGAAATTTGGAAACGATTGTAACGTCAAAACATATTTTGTGTTGACATTTATACGTGTGAATTGACATGTTAGTGACATTTTAGTGGCTGCACAGGCTTCGCCCACTCCCTTTTTCTATTATGTATTTATTATTGTATTCTATGATTAAAATGTTTGTTAAATTTTAATCAAAAATATACGGGAAGCGCTATTTTTTAGACTTTTACGACTAAAATGTTTACTCGAATCTTGTAAAATTGACCTGAGGCCATGCTTCCTGTATCCCCTCTTTGTTATACCACTGTCTAGGTAGAAAACGAATGACCTTTGGATTTATAGAAGAAGGAATAAACAGATGCGTATCTAGCTTGAAGGCTAAGAGCATAATAACTGTCCTAATTGATAGGCGGTTGTAGATGTCCAAGGGCTTCTGTAGCTACTTACCATCAGGTTAGCTATAAGCTCGGTCGTCGGTTCAGTTTTATTAAAGACTTATGGGACTGATAAAGAGTATATTTTTTTTATTTTTTTTTTTATATATATATATATATATATATATACAACACGTAACATAATTAACGCACTTTGAGAAAGTAGTTTGTTCAGAATCCGATTTCTATCATTTTAATATAGGTAACTTTTTATCCCAAAAATAATTAAAACTACGTAAATTACAGTCACACTAAGACTCTGTACAGTCAAAACAAACTGAAATGGACCGTAACTTAAGGCAATAAGACTTTTAAGAGTGCAGTTTTATTTGTATCATTACTAATTCTGTCATTCAATAAAAATAAAGGAAAATGAACTTTATTTCAAGCATGTTAAAGTCTTTGCGTTCGTGGATTTGTACTGTGACCACAACATTCTTCCGGAATTAGTAATTTGATAAATAATCAGTGTATAAAAATGTTTAATTCAATGTATGTATTATGATTATAACATAATATACTAATTGGGGTGTCTGAGGGTGTGCGATGTGATTTATATATATATATATATATATATGTCAGTTACGCATGATTTTTTGCGGATATCCTCGTAACGGATTTTATACCGCAAATAATTCCCGTGCATAGCCCTTTCCATCGCATGAAGAGTACAATATCAATTATTATTTTCAGGTACGAGGTGAAAGGATTCAATACGCTTCTGGGTTTCGAGCGTGACCACTACTACCAGGAATACAGTGACTATGATGTTAACGAATTCGACCCCAACGTATTCGTTGTTGATCGTAAGTAACCCACACGCATACATGCACACACGCTTGTACGCACACGTACACATACATTCATTTATTACAGCAGCATAGGCCTCTCCCATAAATTGTCTAATAGGAGGAATATTTGTCTTAGTTGCCGCGCTTGCCAGACGAGTTGGCATTCGCAGTTATTTATTATTTTGAGCTGTTATTGGCAAGATGCTGCTGCACATTTCCAGTTTCAATTTCCTTTTGTAGCCTCTTAGGTCGTCCACGGATGATATGGGGTTGTAGATTGTTTTACGCCGCCAATACACTGTGACACATGTGCGCACACCCTTACCTCATATACAAACACCAACACATCTTAGTCTTACTCTCATTACACTAGTCTTACGTACACGTACATACAACACACTTACAATAGTCTTATGTACACGTACGTCCTACACATAATAGTCTCACATACAGGTACATATTACACACTTATTCTAGTCTTACGTACACGTACGTACTACACACTTACAATAGTCTTACGTACACGTACGTACTACACACTTACAATAGTCTTACGTACACGTACCTACTACACACTTACAATAGTCTTACGTACACGTACATACTACACACTTTTAATAGTCTTATGTATATAACTTACAATAGTCTTACGTACACGTACGTACTACACACTTACAATAGTCTTACATACACGTACGTACTACACACTTACAATAGTCTTACGTACACGTACATACTACACACTTTTAATAGTCTTACATACACGTACGTACTACACACTTACAATAGTTTTACGTACTCCTACGTACTACACACTTACAAAAGTCTTACATACACGTACGTACTACACACTTACAATAGTCTTACGTACTCGTACATACTGCACACTTTTAATAGTCTTACATACACGTACGTACTACACACTTACAATAGTTTTACGTACTCCTACGTACTACACACTTACAAAAGTCTTACATACACGTACGTACTACACACTTACAATAGTCTTACGTACACGTACCTACTACATAACGATGGACCACAGTATTCACTTACCGTCAGGTAAGTGAATGCTGTGGTCCATCGTGGCTTCTTCGTGAATCTGGATGAAACTCAAACCGGGACTCACCGGTAAACAGCACCAAAGACTATTGTTCGTCACTCCATGGTAAGTGCTCCTGAGCCCACGAAAGACATCGACCGTGATTGCCACGTCGCAATGCTGGAACAGGTAGTGGTCTTCGAGTATGAAGACCAACTTCATGCAACCTCTTTCGCGCGGTTTGGTCACTTACCAGTAACTGGTAGTCCTCCTGGAGCCTTTGTAGTAGTTGCATCACTGTGATATTGGGTTGTCTTCTGGCGGGCATTTGGAGAAATCTATCCTGCCCCTGCGTAGTAGTACAAAATCTACCCGTGTGTCGTTCATCCACATCCCCAGTACTGCGATAACGTAACCACAACCTTGATATCAGGCTTTGGCTAATGTGTAGGGCCTCAGCAATGACGCGTTGAAGAGCACCATTTTTTAACATGTCTACGGCTCATAACATTTTATATCGACTCAAATGACGGCGTGACATGACTCATAAAGCTCACACGGCAAGCTAAATTAAAAAAAAAAAACAATATAATCCCTTTTATTTATTAATATCTGTAGAGCAATTTAAAATTTTCCTTGACATAACGAATTACTAAAAATTTATCGCTGTATTTTGCACTTCTTTTGCTTTTTTTATTTACGTTTTTAAATTTTGAAAATAGAATAAAAGAGGTTTCAATCTGTAGGTATATAAACTTTCGTAGAAATTAAAAAGATTTTAAAACTATAATGTCGTAATTAATTTAGGGTTAAGTTATCCCTAGATTATGTTGATACAAAAAACTACACCTACCCTCAAAAATTTATATTAAATTTTTTGTTATTTATATTTATTTTAAATTATAGGTGTGCAGTGCGCGCCGTTCAAGGGTCCCGAGTGGAGTTACTTTGCCACATTCAACCCCATGAAGGAGTTCGTACATCCTGTGCACGACGCACACGTTGGCAGCGAGTTTGACAGGTGATATTTGACATTTGTCTCAATTAACAGTTTCTCTATGACGTCTATAAAATAAAAATGTAAGGATGTCCTTACATAATTAACATTTTTTTATTCTGTACTATATTATTTACATTTTGTTTTTTGTATTATGCAACTGACATGACGCTGACAGCAAGTTTGTCGGGCGACAATTAACATTCATCTAATTTGACAGTTCATCTATGTCGTCTATAAATTAGAAACTTAAGAAGTTCCTCCTTATATATTTTTTCTGTAAGAGCAGTTATGCTTGCCTAGAAAGACAAGTATCACTACGACCTATAAGGTCTATTGTGATCGCCGATGCGGCTATAGTTCACTGCTAAGCCTTATGTCTTCAATGGATAGAAGAAGTTGCTTAGCTGTGAATAATTTCACTTTTTCTGGGCTAACTACATAGTTTTCCGGATGAGTGTTACGTTTGCGCATAAGGGTCCACAATAAGCGAGGAGAGGTGTTTCTTCCGTTAAGGAACAGAATCGGCAAATCCTTGAGTTGCTTAATCCCAGGATGGACATATGCTTTTTTAGACAACAGCATCCAGTCAGGGCTCTTGCCAGAACACGCAGTTTATTCTTACTTAACCCCAGGTCTTCTGAAGCGCATTTACGTTCATAAGCCTGGACTAAATAAAAAACGTAAGAAGTTCCTCCTTATACATCGTACCGTATGATTTATATCTTATATTTTAGTATCATCAAATGACATAACAGTTCACCTGATGGTGAAGAGGCAACAGTCCATGGATATCTGCAGCCAATTTTAAACAGAAAGGTTACAGACGCGTCGTCATCTCTGAGCATCTATGATGGAATGACTCACAGCCTGAAATTGTACTGGTCCCTAACCTTCAGACCGGAACACAGCAGTTCAATTACCGCTCTTTGGTGGTAGGAAAAATAAGAAGGTCAGGTATCACCTTGTTACCAATTCCTACCTAAATGGTTTAGGCAGGAAAAGAGATCTACCACCTAGAACGACTCTTTGAACAGAAACAGTTCAGCAAAAAGTATTATGTAGTATTAAAATTAATTATGGATCTGAGACGTAGTCTTTCACAACTTTTTAAAAAATTTTTTATAGGATAGGGTAACAAACGAGCACACAGTCCACCTGGTGGTAAGTGGTCGCTGTGGCCTATAGACATCTACATCTATCCTCGATTACAAATCAAAATGCAGATGCGTTGTCACCCGTGAGGACTAAGATGGAACGCCTTGTTTTGAGTAAAAAGGGCCTCCAGTTCTCTACACTCACCATACGAAACACAGCAGCATTAGGGTACTATTTTACGCTGGTATTCTGTGAGAGCGTGGTCCTTCCCCGGTCGAGCCGACCCATTCGTGCTACAACTATACTACTAATATAACTGCAGCATGGCTGTACCACGTAACTGACTGAGGCTCAAGGTAGCTCAGTGAGCTATGGAAAGGGCTACGCTCGAGGTTTCTCTGCGTAGTAAACTTAGAAATGAGGATATTCGCAGTAGAACCAGAGTAACATTAAACATCCAGCAAACGAATTTAACGAATATATAAAATAAAAGAAAATCATACATGACTGCTACATCCTTCTTATCATGTCCTTGAATATATATATATATATATATATATATATATATATATATATATATATATATATATATATATATATATATATAGGGGGTTTAGTTATTTTGTCCTAGGTAATCAAGTTCAGTATCGGTAGATTGAGCACAGCGCGCCAGCAATAGATTATTAAAAACCTATTATATATGTTTTCGTAACGGGTAACCCTTAAAACGAAGCTTAGAACATTACTAGTTACATATGCTGTTATCTTTTAAAAAGGAAGAACTCAATTTTTCAATGCGAATCTTGGACTAAGTAATATATTATTGTTTACTTTTCAGCTTTAAGACTAAATACGGCAGACAATACTCCAGTGAAGAGGAGCACGCTAAACGCTTGAATATCTTTAGACAGAATCTACGGTAAGGCCAACATCATTGTTTCAGTTTTAAGTACAATTAAAGGAAAATTAGCATATTTGGAATATGTAACGAATAAATCAACTAAAGCGTAAGTTGACAATGTTTTACCTCAACCTGATGAATGGTATGGCAGCGCATAAAATACGAACAATCAAACATTAATTTTTATATAAGGTGGGTGGACCATGGAAGGCCATGCTCCTTCGAAGGCCAATTATTAAAATGTCGTAGTTATTGCCATGTGATGACAAATTTCTTCTACTTACACAAACACAAATCACAGACTCGGCGGGGAATCGCTCGCGCTACTATTTTGACAGTACGGTACCTCGCTTCATTAATTTCGGGAATCGAAGACGTTAAAATAAGGTGGGTGTATCATGGAAGGCCACTCTAACGAATAAACAGTTATTATTCGTTTATTTACTGGATAAATGAAACTAACAAATATTTAAGTAATACATTGTTTCATTACGTAACATATAAACCACTTCTTGTTATTGTAGATTTAATCGCTATTTATTAAACTTTATTGTTAAATAACTGATTTATTATAATGGCCTTCTAAGAAACCTTGTTGCTAGCAAGGCCATTTGGAAGAGTTCAATGAAACTTAAGTTCAGTCAATATTGATTAAATCTGCAATTTAAAAAAGTGGTTTATATATTGCATAATAAAACAAAGTATTACTTAAATATTTGTTAGTTTCATTTATCCAGTAAATAAACGAATAATAACTGTTTATTCGTTAGAGTGGCCTTCCATGGTATACCCACCTTATTACAAGATGATAAGCTTGTGATAAAACTGTGTGTATTTCCACACGCGTGTTATGATTACATCAGTAAATGTTACTTACAGAAGTCTTTAGCGCAATCTTCTTTTTTAGTTTCCTTACAATCATTTTCTAAAGTAGAGTTCAGTATCGCACTTCTGAATAAGTGATTTTGTGAACGTCGGTACACGTTTTATTAGAGAAAGGTAGAACATTAAATTTCTTAGAGTAGAGTAAAGTAGAACAATCATTTTCTTTTAATAGTTCTGAGGGATTGTTCCGATTAGTTCCAGCTGCCAAATTTCACGAACGCACATCGCGTCAAAATCACGATACCATCCTCACCACCTGGATGCTTGGCGGTCCACCACTGTGCGTTTTACTAGGAGTTTTCTCCCTCGTACAACTTCTCTGTGGAATTGTTTACGACCGATACGATTTAGGGACATTCAAGAAAAGAGCGTACTCTTTTCTAAAAGGCCGGCAACGCACCTGCAATTCCCCTGGTGTTGCGGTTGATCATGGGCGGCGGTAGTCACTTACCATCAGGTGAGCCGCATGCTCGTTCCCCTTTTTTCTACAAAAATAAATAAATAAATAACTTCGAGTGTCTATCGGGATTTAGTTCAAAAAAAATATTTTATGGTTACAGTAATAAGATCTCATCTCGCGTGCACAGTATACTATTAAGTCCACAGCTGGGTATGTATGTATGTACCTATCTCGTTGTAGAGTGGATTTGCTTTTCGTCGTCTCGTTTGGCACGTGCTTTGACGCTGTGGCAATAGTCTCGCATCTTGTCGTGCTGCCCGCGGGCTAGACATGTGTCAATCATGCATGATTCGTTCGTTTGAGCTGGTACACTTAAAAGTATTGATGGTTCACTAATTTATTTTTGAATGTACCAGTACAACCAATCAAAAACAATTGACGGTACCTTTTTAAACCGCGATTTGCTTGAATTGTGAATGAACCGCAAACCGACCGAATCCCGAATGATCTGAATAACAGGCGAATCGTATTATTAATGCAGACTGCAGAGTATCAGGAGTATTTATTATTTAAGGTTTTTTTTATTGTAATATTGTTACCTAAATTAAAAATTATTTTACATTTGATTATATAATTTACTTGTTAGATGAGTTAAAAATATAATTTCGTAGAGTTTACTAAAAATAACACTTCAAAAGATTTCATGATAAATGAGTTATTTAATATGATAATTTTCAACCACCTTTTATAAGTATAAGATAAGTAAAGGTTTAATTTTGTAGCAAATAAATGTTACAATTCCTATTTTTAGACATGAAAAGGAAGATGAAATAGTGTATTGTTAGGAATGGAATTTAAGAATAAACAAATTTATTAAATCTAAGATAACTTGAGTTTTTTGTGTTTATGCCATCTAGGGTCGATTATACTTGTACCACCTTGTCAATAAGTTTTAGTTCGATAAAATGTCTTTATTACCTATAGCATGTAATAGGTGGCGCTATTACAAATCTCAAATAGAAAATTTTAATTTTCTATTGATGTTTTTGTTCTATTGATTGATGAATTTATCATGTGTAATATTTTAGGACACTGAAATATCCGCCGCTCATCCCCAATACGTGTTGGAGTACTTCACATGTTTTCGAAATATTTATTTTTATCTTCATCGCCGTGCACATGGTTTAAATTATTACAAATATATTATAACCCACTTGTTATAATTCAGTTATTTATTTTTATTACAATTCCAGCTTCATTCACTCTAACAATCGCGCGCGGCGTGGCTTTAGTTTGTCTGTGAACCACCTGGCTGATCGCACTGACGACGAGCTGGCGGCTTTACGGGGACTAAGATACAGTGAACCCATTCCCATGGGTAAGTAGAAAAGCCAGGGGAGCTTTTATAGTCGTTATTTATAGAATAAGGGTGACAAATGAGCACACGATCCACCTGATGGTAAGTGGATGCTGTGATCCATAGACATCTACATTTATTCTCGATTAGCAATCAAAATACAGATGGGTTGTCACCCCTGAGTACATACCGGTTGTCATACCTGCCGAATATCCCGAATACCGAATATGAAACGAATATTTAGACCATCTCTAGTTGTCACCCCCGAGTACAAGCACAGCTTAAATAACTTACAGTTAGGAAACGAATGTACTTCTTGTTGTTGAATGTGCGCCACCTTGTGCTAGCGTACTTTACTGAGTCATAGACAATACAAATTAATGCGGTTGCTGCGAGCGTGTTTTATAGTAAGTCGTGAGTAGCAGTTTTCTAAATATATATCTATAATGGTTATGTTATGGTATAGTAATATACAGGGTGTTAGTGTAAACACCGTTATCCTTGCAGCCAGTGGTTTGGTTTCACTTATAGAACGTAAATTCAATGAAAAATAACAACATTTTTTTTAGTAAAATCTCAATTTTTCCTGGATAAGCCAGGATGTTAGTATGAAGGAAAAGTTACAGCACAGGTTATGTGTACCTACTGTATTTTTATTTGAATGTTGTGTAGGTAGCTAGCGCGGGCGGTGATCTTTACAGTGATTATGTCACTCGGGTGCATAGGATATCCATGAATTTACGGACGGTGTCGGACAGAAACTTTTTAAATTTTATGAAAGAAAATAGCGTTTCTTTATATCAGTGAATTTACGTTCTATAAGTGACACCAAACCACTGGTTTCAAGGATAACGGTGTTTACAACATCCTGTATATGGTGAGTTACTAAGTAAAATTGAATTCAAATGACGATCATGCTTATGTTTCCCCTCGCATTTTTTGTGATAAAATGATTTATCCGAATGCTACACTACATAGGTACATTTAACAATCGAAAACTGAAAACATCTATAAAAAAATGCGTCACGAAAATATTTGTCAGTGCAATATCTGTAATTTATAATAACACCTGTAAATGTTTTATTTCTTATAGTAATAGAAAATAATCTGTTCAATAAATGTTTTCAACATATCCCCTCAAGTGTTACGTCAATCCAATGTGGTTGACAGCTAATGTATGCCGACGTGTCAGCCGACCCCGTGTGCCCATTTGGCAAGTAATCGCGATTCGCTATTGAATTACAAAGTAAACACTGTTTGTTTCTGATATGGAGTGTAGAAGTAAGGAGTACCAACTCCCATAGTAGAATAGTTGAAAAAGTGGCCATCTGTAAGCAGTAAATAACAGTTCAAAAACTCTCCACAACAGTGCTGGACTAGCTACGGGTATGAAATGAACTTAGCAGTTTTCGACGGTGTAAAGTTGCCGCTAAACTGCTCAGTAGCTCTAAAATCTAAAATAATTTTATTAAGTAAATATAACCTCGAAAAAGTGGTCTATTCCACTAATATTTTTCAGCACGTTCTTTAAAATTTAGCCCGTAGCTATAGTAGCGCCACCCTTATTTAACGGTTTTTATGGACACTTTTTAATACACAGTCTGTACTCTTTACTTCTTCACTCAATAGTTTCTGATTCTAATGTTTGAACAACGTAGATAAAAGACAAGGCCGTACTGTGGCGCCATTAGCGAACTTCACTGCATAGAAATTTCGGTTGTTTTTTACCTGTTTTTTTTTTACCGCGTAAAAGGAGGTAGGTTTTAAAAGTTTGTAATTTGATAACAAAGTATTTAGAGGTGTGATTTTTTAATCCCTTTTGACAGAATATTGTACCATTATGCAAATGAAACAAATGCCTTTTCATGTAATTTGTTTATTTCATAATCCTTACTTTATATGTGCAAGAAACCGGCAAACAATTTTGAAATAAAGTTGATAATATCTAGGATTAGAAGTAGAAGTAAAATTGCACTGATTAATTCACAATGAAAAATAGCTTAATTCATAACGATTCGATAAGTATAAGTTTTATACAACATGTAACATAATTAACGCACTTTGAGAAAGTAGTTTGTTCAGAAACGTTTACTGAATCGATTCCTATCATTTTTAATATAGGTAATTTTTTTATCCCAAAAATAATTAAAACTACGTAAATTACAGTCACATTAAATCTGTACAGTCAAAACAAACTGAAATGGACCTTAAGTTATGGCAATAAGACTTTTAAGAGTGCAGTTTTATTTGTATTATTACTAATTCTGTCATTCAATAAAAATAAAGAAAAATTAACTTTATTTCAAGCACGTTAAAGTCTTTGCGTTCGTGGATTTGTACTGTTACCACAACATTCTTCTGGAATTAGTATAACTAATTTGATAAATAATCAGTGCTTAAAAATGTTTAACTAAAAATTCAGTGCATGTATTATGATTATAACATAATATACTAATTGGGGTGTCTGAGGGTGTGCGTTAATTACGTAACATATTGTATATGTATAGCTGGCATACAAAATTAAAAAGATATCATAGTTTACATTAGCGCCTGCTAGTATCGAGCGACTTCCCGTACAACCCCTGACATTTAGCGCGTAAAAAAATAAAGTGGCCGGGCGCATGAGGGGTTGTAAGCATCTACATAATGTTATTAAATTATTTTTTTATAGGATAAGGGTGACAAACGATCACACAGTCGACCTGATGGTAAGTGGTTGCTGTGGCCTATAGACATCTACATCTCAGCCTCGATTACGAATCAAAATACAGATTCGTTGTCAGCCGTGAGGACTAAGATGGAATGCCTCGTTTCCAGTAAAATGGTTCTCCGGTTCTCTACACTCACCATACGAAACACATCAGCGTTGAGCTGCTATTTTACGCTGGTATTCTGTGAGAGCGTGGTCCTTCCCCGGTCGAGCCGACCCATTCGTGCTACAACTATATACTAATACTACTTATATAGCTCCAGCTCTACCAAGTCAAATAGCATGGCTCTACCACGTCAAATGAGAGTGTCAGATGATAATGAGTCTTGTGATATTCAAAATCATTTTGTTTCCATTTTCGTGAAAACGCCTAGCATACACGCTGCCCGCATAAATACCTACGTGGACAGTGGCATTGCCTGACCTCAAAAGCGTTTCGCAACTGTAAGGTCCTAAAACTGTGGTAGTATGGAATGCCTCGTTTCCAGTAAAAAGGGTCTCTGATTTTCTACACTCACCGTACAAAACACAGCCGCCTTGAGCTACTATTGTACGCTGGTATCCTGTGAGGGCGTGATCCAGGTCGCCTCGACCGGGTAGGACCAGTGATCCTACCTGGTCGAGGGGACCATAATATAACTGCAGCGTGGCCCTACCACGAACAGAATCAATCAATCATACATACCACATATAGAATCAATTATTTATCCTTTAAACACTTAACTAGAGGTAAAAAAGCTGTCTTAATGTCTTATGGCATTCTCTCCTGGGAGACTTCCTAAACCTGGGAGAAATTGAATTGATAAAATGTTTGCAGGTTTTAAACAGTCTTGTAAAATTACTTTTAGGTCTACCTTTCCCGTACGGAGAATCTGAGTTGAGAGAGATGCAAGCGAAACTGCCCCCAGAATTTGACTGGAGGCTGTCCGGTGCTGTTACACCAGTGAAAGGTAAAACAATAAGAAATCTTGTTTTTCACAACACATTTTAAAAAATGTTATGGTTTTACCTGCAGTCTGGACTGATAATACCTGTGAAAAATTGACGAGATCATCATCCAGAATTCTTCCCCTGTTTTCTCCTTCAAAACTGGATCACATATATTTATTTTTTTCGTGAACAATTTAAGAAGAATTGTCTGTCTGAATGATTTTTTTTTCATTATTTATGTTTGTAAAATTTGTTTGTCGGATGTCTAATAACGACAGTATAACTACACAGTTTTAGTAATTTTAGAAGTTTCGTTATTTTCAAATAATTGTTTATTGGAAAAACATTTATTTGTGTTGGTCCCTACTTTAACGTATGGTAGTAAAAGTTGGGTGTGGCAGAAGAAGCACGAGAGTAGAATAAACGCAGTAGAAATGCGGTCGTTAAGGAGTATGTTAGGGCTGAATCTGAATGACAGGGTAAGAAATTGTGTAATAAGAGAAGAGTGTGGTTTGCAAGATGATATTGTGACCAGGATTAAGATAGGAATGCTTCGGTGGTTTGGTCATGTGGAAAGAATGAATGAGGAAAGAGTGACAAAGAAAATTTATGGTGCAGAAGTGAATGGCAGAGTCGGAAAGGGACGTCCTAGGCGAAAATTTATCGACCAAATTGGCGATTTATTGAAAACGGGCCAAATTAGGAGTACCCTTAACCGACGATCATGTATGCGTAAGTGTATGGATGTGAAGGAGGCAAGAGAGGTGTGTCAGGATCGTGCCAAATGGAAGTCTGTAGTCTCTGCCTACCCCTCTGGATGACAGGCGTGAGTGTTTATGTTTATGATGTTACTAATTATTGTAAATTTATTCCTCTTGTGTATATATGCTATTATACCGCCACCCCTTCGGTATTTACGCAGCACTGTGTGCATGTTATAGTCCGGTAGGTTAAACATATCGCTTAGGTAGTCAGATATATTAGCTTCCGTTACCAATATAATATCTATACATGCATTAGATGAGTACACACATTGTTCTAAAGCATCAACGTTTTTAATCAAGGACTTTATATTTATGTGCATGCATAAAAGGTTAGTTTGACAATTTTTAATAGGAATATGATTTAAAAATGAATTTATGTACAATTACTTAATTCACAAATATCGTCTAACTGTAAGTCCATTAAAAAAAAGTAAAGAACAAAAAAAACTTTTTGATACATTTTTTGAAATACCTATATAGAATAATTTATTGCGACTGTACATGGACTTCCTTTTGTAGTAAGGCTTTAATGTCATCATCAGTTCTAATTATGAACGATTGTTCTTTTTCACTTTTTCTTGCTCTAATAACTCCATTCTTGCACCACACACATTTGTGTATACTCCGCTGTTCTTAAGTTCTCTTCTGGCATTTCCAAGTGAGGTCTTATTGTAAGTGGTTAATGCCTCACTTATGTAGATGGTTTCTTTACCAGTCAACGGTGATGCGCTAGGCAAGATATCGTTCACCATGACCTTTGTATCCTTTGCTTTTGTAAGCCATTTTGTTTTAACAGTTTCTGACGGTAGAACCACACGTAGTTTTCCGGAATTATTTCTATTGTAACCAAAGCGCTTTACTTCTATAATATTTTCTGTTAATTCAAGTTTCTGTTTTATTTTTTGCACGACGTTTAAAAGATCTTCGTTGTCAGTGAATGGGATATTAAAAATATCAATAGTTTTAATAAGCTGTTGCTGTTCTTGTTCTTGTAAACGCTGTTCTAATGCACTTATTATATATTCAAAGTTTTTATTTTAGTTAGATAATTCAATATTCTTCTTTTTTATTTATTTTACTGTAGTTTTAAATGCGTCTACGGTTTCGAGTAAATCATCAAATTTTCTAGAATTGAATTCCAAAGACTCTGTAAACTGGCTCAATTGACGTTCAATAGCACACTCCACTTTTGTTGATATTTCTAGAAGCAATTTTTTACCATCTAATGGAACAGAGGCTGAGGTTATAGGCGATCCAAATGCTTCATCATTATCTTCATCTTCAGGTATAACATTTCGGGTATCGAAGTTCGTCTAGATGAAGTGTTTTTGCATTCAGAGCACGACCAATCTGGGTTTTCATTTGCCCGAAGCGCATTCCTTTGTTTGGTGGTAAGCCCTGAGCATTCTGTGTTCAGATGCACCATCTTCTCACAACGATGACACTCCACACCAGGACGAGCCTTTGTAATATTTTTGTTGCATTTTTCACACTTTGACATATTCATGCTCTTAGACACAAAATTATTTGCCGCAACCAAACGTCCGATCGACATGAGCGAGCGAGGCCGAATGAAATTTAAATATATAAATATATATATTTTTTACTTCAACACCATTTTACTACACAACTATAACTGTTGGAGGATGAACTGTACTGATAAGACTTTTTTTACGTGAAATTAATAGTTCTTACAGGTGAGAGTCGCGGTTTAAAGACATTGTTTCGTACAATAATATAATAATAACATTATGTCTATATTATTTTATACTTCTATAATTTAATAACTAATTTTCTATTTTTTTTTTCGCCTCAACTTAATGTTATACCCATTGTTTGTAAGAGCTGTGTTTCCTAGTACAAACAAATCCTTTACTTAAAAGGAAGCTCCAACCACGATATGCTATGTAATAGATTAAGTTATGCAATAAAGAATTTCAATTTGAGTTAAATATATAAAAAAAAGTAAGACGCTGCTGCTCGTGGATTGTTTGTAGTGGATTACACCGCCACTACATAGACAACACAAAATAATGAATTGCGTTTACCTATCCGCCTGCCAAGCATGGCAACTATGGCAAACATCCCTACCATGAGGCAATTTACGGAGAGGCATACGTTCTGATGTGGACTTTTGATAGTAATGGTAAAAATAACAATTATTATTTCCTCCAGACCGGATTTCGGTCACGGTGGCCAGTCTCAACTGAGACTAGCCATCTGCGCAGGATAGGATTATAGTACACGAGTGTATATTAGGCATAGCGATCTGACATCGATTAATTGAAGAATCGATTTTTTGCGCCAAAAAGATCGTTTTTTAAATCGACGAATAGTATTATATACTGAATCGATCCAGTAAATCCATGTTTCATCCTAGAAAATCGAGATCGAATCTTTTTTATTTTTATAAGAACTATAAAATTGTTTACAATTATTTACAATTATATGTACCCAAACACGTAAAAAATTACAGTTATTCTATTCAAAATCGCAAATCGCTGTGATCAGTTTCTTTCGCCTCTTCTTAATGTATTAAAGAAATAAAAAATAAGTTACGTTTGTAATTTGTAGTTTGTTGTATCCTTTGATATTGTAAATATTCGTATAAACTCTGAAAGCAAATCAAAATAAAGATCGATTTTTGAGTAACCAATCTTTTAGAAGTCGATGATTTTGTGAATCGATTCTTCAGATTTCGATTTGAATCGACTTAAAAATTTGATCTTTCCGGAAAGAATCGCCTTCCCTAGTGTATACTTTATTCTCTCAGATTTATTCTCACAGGTGCACTTTATTCTCTCACTCCCTCACTCATAGTTCGATGGGACGGTAATCCCACACGACTGGAGACCACGGCAAGGGGTGAAACACCACTAACTTTCTTGCTCCAGGTTGCTACCGAGAATTTCTTGACCAAAAACCCAATAAACGATTTTGGCCTGACCCGACCTTATGACTAGCAATTACATTAACGACCACTCGAACATCGAGACAGTCGATCGTATAATTAATGTAATGGTAAATATATAAAAATACAAACTTGCAGATCAGTTATGGTGCGGCTCGTGCTGGTCGTATGGAGCGGTCGGTGCTGTAGAGGGCGCGCTGTTCTTACGCAACGGTGGCCATCTTGTTCGTCTCAGTGAACAGGCGCTCATCGATTGTTCATGGGGGTTAGTCCATTTTACTGTTTTTAAATTATTGTATCAAATATAAATGGTCGGCCGCGTCATGAAGTGATCAATTCTAAGATCTGGCCACGACATAATATACACAAAACAATGCTTTTATGCTATATTCCTACATATTTTTAACTTTTCTTTTAATCATCTACTTAGGAATACCCTATATAGGTTGATCCATTTTTAATGTAATTAATATAAAATATTACTAATTATTCATTAATCTCTACACTTTTCTACCAAATTAACTTAGTCAAGTATTTCAACTCAGGTCAATGCACCGGATGTGTTAACTCTCTTCTTTAAAATGGAATTGACCAGGAAATTCGAAAGGTTTTGGTATTAAGTTGCCCTCAGAATGCAGAGGAGTTTTATTGAACACTTGTGATATTTTGTACGAACTACTACTCCGTGAAATGAAAAGAAGTGGTAGTAATAGGTAATCTTTCTTTCCTACATTTTATTGTACTTGCTAGTCTCAAAGTTTTATTTTGGCAGATGGCTGACTGTGCTGTAAACTGCGCCTGGGTTACTGAGTTATCAACGCGAGATTTGCTGAGTTAACGTTTAATAATTGCAATAGTTGCCATCTTGGCAAATACAGTTGTCAACCGCAGTTTTTTATTATTATTATGTAGTTATCAAGAAGATGCTGCTGGTACAAGTGCCTTTTCCTAGTTTCCCTATGTCACCTCTTACGACACCCACACGATATGATATAGGGTAGTGAATATTCTTACGTATGCGCTACACGGCACAATGCCTTTAATAATTAAATCTCTATATATAAAAATTAATTGCTAATCATTGCTCTCGCTAAAACTTAAAAACAACTCGACCGAATTTGATAAAATTTTTATGTGTGTTTTAATGGGTCTCTAGCTGGTTTATATTCACATTTGGACCCAGTAGGTGGCCCAGGAAACATTATAAAACTTGTAAAATTATATTAATTTAACGTGTATTGCCTACATATAGGAAATAATTTTATTTAAAATTCCTGCTATCAGCTTCGGTAACTTTGGCTGCGGCGGTGGCTTTCCATCCAGGGCTTACCAATGGATCATGAAGCACGGTCTGCCTACTGAAGTAGACTATGGCAGTTACTTGGCACAGGTTAGTTTTTTTTTTTAATAAAATTTAAACGACAAACGAATCATGGTCTAACCCACCTGATGATAAGTGGATGCTGAGACCCATAGGTATCTTCATCTATCCTCGATGAGGAATCAAAATGCAGTTGCGTTATCGCCCCTGAGCACTAAGACGGAATGCCTTGTTTCCAGTAAAAGGGTCTCCGATTCAGATACTCTTTATCACTTCTTAGCGGACGCACGAGTACATACAAATTTACACCAAGTTTTTTTGATTCTGAGAGTGAGTTTGAGAATGGTTTACTTAGTCTCATGTTCATAAACAAATATATCCACGCCACAAAGAAAACGTTTAGGTAGTAATTCTGTTAAAATTTATGATTTATAAATTTATAACGCAAACAAATACCTGAATATGTATATGTAGTATTATAATGTGTTATTTTTGCAACATCAGGGGACTTCATTCCAATCTTAACGCTGTCCACTACCATCTTTTTAACCGAGACTCAGTTGTCCTCTTCAAATCTCTCCTACCCAGGGTACAAATTAGAACACTCCTTTGCGCCTCGGGCTGGACTTTGCGTATACGTCAGAGAGGACATCTGTCCATTCGACGCCCCTCGGCAGTCTTACGGGTACCTATATAGGTCCCACAGCGGTAATGCTGAAATAGCCCGACTCATCGAGCACGTCCAAATGGCTACAGTGTCTAAGCAGATCTTTCACAGATCGTGATCCTTGGCGATTTTAACGCCCACCATGCCGGTTCACGTTTAACCGGTAATGCAGGAAGATCTGCTTAAAATGACTTTGCCTTGGCATATGGTCTGACACAATTGGTTACTTCGCCTACGCGGATCCCAGATGTGGAAGTTCATGCACCTTTCCTGTTAGACCTTCTGCTGACCTCTCATCCGGACGAATATCAGGTTTCCGTCGACGCCCCTCTGGACCATTCGGACCGTTGTCTAGTCCGGAGTGTGGTGCCACTCACGCTAAAATTGCGGTTGCATTCTGCAGGCTGCCGCCGTGTTTGGCACTATAGGTCAGCCGATTGGGATGGGATGCGGTCTTTCTTTGCATCCTACCCTTGGGGGCGGGTTTGCTTCTCGCCGGACGATCCCAACTCTGTTACTAATCCTGTCACTGATGTGGTACTTCAGTGTATGGAACTTTTTATTCCATCCTCTGTGGTGCCTATCGGAGGTAGATCCCAGCCATGGTTTTGGCGCTCCTGTAAAATCGCATCATGATATAAGCGGGAGTGCTACCGGGTATGGGCTGACACATCAACGTCTCGTGATGTAAACACCAGCGCTCTTAAAAAGAAGTATAATTCTGCCTACAGGTTCAAAAGAGTCATTGCCATGACAAGATCTAAGCACATCGTCAAAATTGGCAAGAAACTAGTTCGCCTGCTTTCGGGAACCCGTGCATTCGGGTCTCTCGCCAAGGCTGTCCAAGAGAATTTCTGTCAGTCATCTCTTCCATGTCTGCACAGAGAAGACGACTCACTAGCCCATGCCGCAAAGAAGAAAGCCCATCTGTTAGGCTCTCTCTTTGCGTCCAACTCGACTCTCGATGACGGGGGGAACACACCGCCGACAATCCCGTGGTGTGAGTGCTCCATGCCGGATGTGCGGTTTACACAGCTCTTAGTTCGCAAAGCACTTCTCTCCCTGGACGTCAGCAAGTCGAGTAGGCCTGATGAAGTCCCTCCCATTGTGCTGAAAACGTTGGCACCGGTTTTAACGCGTCTTTTCTGGTACTCCTACTCTCAAGGCATAGTCCCGAAATCATGGAAGACCGCTTTGGTCCACCCGATCCCTAAAAAAGTGAACAACTCAGACTCTTCCAACTACAGGCCTATCGCCATCACCTCCTTGTTCTCCAAAATAATGAAGTCCATTATAAACTGCCAGCTCATGAGGTACCTTGAGGATCACCAGCTGATTAATGACCGCCAATACGCTTTTCGTCGTGGTCGATCAGCTGGATCTTCTGGTCTACCTGACTCATCGATGTGCAGAGGCAGTAGAGTTCAAGGGAGAGGCATTGGCCGTTAGTTTGAACATAGCGAAGGCCTTCGATCGGGTTTGGCACAAGTCGCTTCTTTCGAAGCTCCCTTCCTATGGACTTCCCGAGAGATTGCGCAATTGGTTCATGGGCGGCGGTAGTCACTTGCCAACAGGTGAGCCGCGCGCTCGTTTGCCCTCTTTTCTATAAAAAAATAATTGTAAAATCATGTTTTATATCTTAACTTAATTGGGATAAAAAACAAAAAACTGCTTTTTTAATTTCGCCCCTTGACATCTCCCTTTCACGTTGATAACAAAATTGATAGCAGTAGGTGGATAAGTACGCACTAGGTATAACATTTCAACAACCCTTCCCATACTGTAATGTAATGTAATATTCTACACATTTAATATAATTAAATTCGTATCACCTTACTACACTGTATTCTATCTCATTCTCACGCAGGCTAAATTCTATAGATATATACGTTTGTCTCTTTTTAGTATAGCTTTTTCGTTTTATCCAGTTTCGAATTACCACGATTCTTAAGAATTTTTCACTTCAAAAATATTGAAATATTTGTAATTCTCGAAGAAGTAAGATGTCAAATTCCCCGCATAATGCCAATCCCCAATAAATCAACTTTAGATTCCTCGCGGCAACGTTGGAACGAACATCCCTCCACCTTCCCACACAGATCTAGATATCGCAGGTCCATGTTGCGTTGGACGCGTGTGATTGCATTGCATACGATAAGTGTGTTTCTAATGTATTGTTTTTCATACAATAGAATCCTAGTTCAGGTACCTGTTATTGTAAACTATATTTAGATTAAGGCATTCTTTGAATGAATTGTACAGTTAATTGAAATAAATCATCATCATCATCATCATTACAGCCCTTCACAAGTCCACTGCTGAACATGTTCAGAGGCCTCCCCAAGTAATGCCACAAAGCACGGTCCTGAGCCACCTGCATCCATCGACTTCCTGCATATCTTACCAGGTCGTCACTCCATCTAGTGGGGGGTCGCCCTATACTACGCCTACCGGTACGAGGCTGCCACTCGAGAACCTTTCTTCCCCATCGGTTATCGGTTCTTCGAGCTATATGGCCGGCAAATATATCGTCGGCAAATCGAAGGTGAGTGATGTACTCGCCATTGATGTTAATACCGTATCCTTTCCAGTCCAGTAGCTTGAAATCGTCTTCCAGTGCAGCGGTGAAGAGTTTCGGGGAAATAACGTCACCCTGGCCTACACCTCTCTGGAGTTGGTTAGGGTTCGAGCTCTGGGTCTGGACTCGGATAGCCATCGTAGCCCTACTGTACAAACACTTCAGCACTTCGATATACCGACAGTCAACTTGGCACCGATGAAGGGACTGTAGCACCGCCCAAATTTCGACAGAATCAAGGGCTTTCTCATAGTCCACATACGCCAGGCAAAGTGGCAGATTGTACTCTTCGGTCTTCTGGACAATCTGCCGCAGGGTATGTATTTCGGAAACCGGCTTGTTCGGGAGGCTGGAAGTCGTCGAGTCTGCGTGCGAGACGATTCGTAATGACTCTCGAAAACAGCACGTAGATGCGGCTCAGAATAAATAAGCAGTCAGAAATAAATAATAAAAAAAGTGTTTGCTTCTTTCCAGAACGGCTACTGCCACGTGGATAACGTGACACTGGTGACAACTATCAAGGACTGGGTCGATGTCACCCCCAATAATGATAACGCTCTCCGTGTGAGTAAAAAATATCAAAGTTTTATTTACACTGGTACCGGTTAAAGTTAGTAAAAAAGTTTTGTATGGAAAATTCATGGACACTTTATTTTATTGACCTTAGGGAGTCCTCAATTTTATATCGACGCGAAATCGGCTTAAGCCGGTCGGAAAAACCTTTATGTCGACGTAATACGGGTGTTACAAGTACCATTTTCATCGGATCGGCTCGGACGATGATCACGACTTCGACCGACGGCAAAAAGAGCGGTGGATTAACTGATTTAGGCCTCACCGGGGATTCGAACCCGTGACCTCATGATCAGCAACCGCATTTCAGACCTCTAGACCAACGAGGCTTAATGTCAATAAATCTAGAACAATAATTATTTAAAAAATTTCAAAATAACATTTTTTTTTACAGCTGGCAATTTTCAAGCATGGTCCGATCTCGGTCGGGATCGATGCCTCGCAAAAGAGTCTCCATTTCTACTCACAAGGAGTATACTTTGAACCAAAATGGTGAGGTTTTTTAAAGTGATAACTTGTTATAACGCATCACAACTCAATGAGTCATCAATCATAATCTTACGGTTACCAGATGCCGCTAGTTGACACTGAGGTGAAGTTTTGTTGCATAATGTCATTTCACTGATAATTTAGTTTTAAATAGACGTTTATCCGTTTCTAGAGTAATATATTAATATATACACAAAACAATACCTAAGTACATAGTTTGTTCTATAATTATTTGCACATTTTTAATATTTTTTTATTTTTCAATTTTTATGAATATTTGTGGTTTTGTTTATTTATTATTAATCTAATTCATATAAAATATAACTAATGGTACAGAAAGTAGCAGTAACGTTTAAAATTTTCGAAAAAATTGACTTCCCTGTTATGTAATCTATCAAATAATACACCTCGTTTTAAGTGACGCCGCCCTGGTGGCAGAGAAAGTCGTGGATGCCCTCATTATTTATGCTGCAGGAATGGTAGACTTGGCGAGGGACGCCTCATACGGAAGTTTGTTGACCTAATGGGCGATATAATGAAGATGTGCGAAATTAAGAGTACTTTTAAGCAGCGAGCATGTATACGTGGGTATATAGACGTGAAAGAAGCGAGACAGGTGTGACAGGAGCTAGCTAATAGGAATTCCGAAGTCTCTGCCTACTACGGTTACCGTTGCCGGCTATTAAAGTCCACTGCTGAACATTGGCCTCCCCTATAAAATGCCTCGTAGGGGGCATATTTGTAATAGTTGCCACACTTGACAGACGAGTTCTCAACAGCGGTTTTTTTATATTTTTAGTCATTATTAGGAATCCGCTGCTGTCTATCTCCCGATTTGTTTCCCTCTGACACCTCTTACGAAACCCACGGGATGATATGGGATTGTGAATGTTCCACTACACGACAACGGTACGGTCTGTGCCCGCCGCTGGAAATAATAGGCATGTGAGTTTAGGTTATGTTAGGATTAGCGTTGCCAGGCGTCCGGATAAAGCCGGACACACAGGCTTTTTGATTGCGTGTCCGGCCAAATTAGACGGTGTCCGGCTTTTGTTAGGCTTTTTATATTTAACCACAATTTAAATACATACTATTGCAATTATTGAAATTAATATTATAGTAAATATTGAATGATTAATAATAAAGAACACTGATTCATTCAATTTTAATTTAAGATTTTATGGTAAATGATATAAGCATTGTTCTACTTTAAAAATATATTATCGTGTTATACTAAGACTGAATAATTAAGGGTGTCCGGCCTTTTAACCAAAATGTCCGGCTAAGCTGGACGGTCTGGTCTTTTCGGTTTAAAGACCTGGCAACCCTAGTTGTGATTCAATTCAAATAAGAAAGATAAATTAAATTCTTGAGCTCTAAAACGGGTCGTAACACGAAACGACAGGTTATTTTTAATACAGAAATCAAGCTTTTATACTATTGTACGTTAGAGCTGGCTTACGACCCCAGCTGATGGTACGTGGTGTAGTCGATGACGGTAAAGTGCAATGACTTAGCTTAACAAAAGCCCATTCACTCTTCCCTTGAATACACCCACTTTATAATTGGATGAAAAGGCAGATGCTGGCGAATTATTCAACTCAATTGCTGTACGCATTAAGAACGACGAAACAAGGCATTTGGTTCGAGTGCGTGATATGTCGACAAGAAAGGGTCCGGTGTCAGCCGAGCGTTAGGTGGTCCAATGATAAAATGGACGAGGTGCACGCTCCGAAATATATACTGTACCTAAAGCACCAAAAGTCTGACAACTGTGTTCGAGACTGGTAAGATTGGCTGAAAGAAGGAACGGTATTTATGTGTTACAACTGTAACAACACCCTATTTCACTCCCCCAGGGGTTAAATTTTCTAAAATCCTTTCTTTCTTAGTGTGTGTGCGTCGAGAAAGGAGTATATATGCCAAAATTCAAGTCAATCGGACGTATAGTTTTGGAGATCTCGTGATAAATGAGTGAGTCAGTGGTAATTTGCTTATCTTTATTTATTATACTCGTACAATTCTTCTGTCCGTGATGTGTGTGTTGACTGAACTCCTCCTAAGCGTCTGGACCGTTGAGTTGATTCGAGAATGCTTTAGATTCACTGTTGGACAATAAACAAAATACGAAGAAACTTTTTCCCCGACCTTGTATTTCTTTTGTCCTGCAGTCCAAAATATCCATAGTAATTAGGATTGCTCAGTGTAATTAGGACTTTCAAAATACGAACAAACTTTTTCCGCGACCTTATATTTCTTTTGTTCTACAGTTTTAAATATCCATAGTAATTAGGATTGCTCAGTGTAATTAGGATTTTCAAAATACGAAGAAACTTTTTCCCCGCCTATTTATTATATTTCTTTTGTCCTGCAGTCTAAAATATTCATAGTAATTAGGATTACTCAGTGTAATTAGGATTTTTCATAATCACCACCCTTGCATAGACTGCCTGGCTGATTGAGTGGTCGTAAACGCGTTTGCTGATCATGAGGCGCCCCGGGTTCGAATCCCAGGTCGGGCAAATATCGGTTTTTCTTTCAAGAAATTTTCAGTAGCAGCCCGGAGTCGGGAAGTTAGCAGTGTTCCACCCAAATTACTCAGAAATCATGTAAAGCCGTTTGTTATGTGCCTCTCCCTTCGTGTAGGACTAAGAGAGTGAGGGAATAGAGAGTGCGCAAGCAGCATACGCTTGAACACTGTAATCCTGTCCTGCGCAGATGGCTAGTCTGCGTTGAGACTGGCCGCCGTGACCGAAATTCGGTCTGGAGGACTTTACTATCAAACTTGCATTGTAATATCAAACGTCGCGTTCCTTTGACACTGTTATTGGTCTCAGAGATTTACACTTGGTGTAAACGAAGTAGTTGTACTATTATTAGTGGGGAGCCGTTTCACTATTACCACAGAACGAAGGCAGGTGATATTTTTTTATAGAATCAGGGTGACAAGTGAGCACACAGTCCACTCGATGGTAAGTGGATGCTGTGGCCCGTAGACATCTGCCTCTAGACTCGATTAAGAGTCAAACCGCAGATGCATTGTCACCCCTGAAGACCAAGATGGAATACCTCCTTTCCACTTAAAAGAGTCTCCAGTTCTCTATACTCACCATACTAAGCATTAAACTGATTTTGTACGCTGGTATTCTGTAAGAACGTGATCCTTCCTCGTTCGAGCTGACCCATTTGTGCAAACAGTATAATAATAATGTACTACAGACCGAATTTCGGTCACGGCGGCCAGCCTTATCGGAGACTAGCCATCGGTGCAGGACAGGATTATAGTGCCCAAGTGTATGCGCAAGCACTCCCTTACTCTCATAATCCGATGGGACGGTAAACCGACATGATCGGATAGAGATCAGGCGCAGGACCAACGGCTTTACGTGCTTTCCGAGGCACGGGGGTGAGACACCGCCAACTTCCTGACTCCGGGAAGCTACTGAGAATTTCTTGACGGAAAAACTCAGTAATTGATTTTTGACCCGACCCAGGATTCGAACTCAGGACTTCATGATCAGCAATCGCACTACTCCAAGCACTATACCAACGAGGCAGTCACATAGCAAATAGTATAATATAGCTACAGCATCACTGCCACGGGTTTTGGATTCTATTATACAGTAAACGACAATTACATTTTATCATCAAATTTTGTATTTTGTTATACGGTCAATTCATTTTACAGTCGCAGATTATATACTATACTGCGCATAACCTGCATACTAATTCTCTTTTTTCTCCAGCAAAAACAAACCACACGAACTGGACCACGTTGTCTTAGCAGTTGGGTACGGCACCCTCAACGGACAGAAGTACTGGCTCATCAAGAACTCCTGGTCGAACATGTGGGGCAACGATGGATACGTGCTCATGTCCTCCCGAGACAACAACTGCGGTGTCGAAACTATGCCCACCTACGTAATCATTTAGACTGTAGTTGCAATATGAGTCTTATGTCAAAGTGTAAAAGTCTAACCGGAGTAACTATTATTATTTTAAAGTTAATTGTCAGAGCACAGCTCACGAAATGAAAATGTTAAAGAGAAAAAAATATATTTCGCTATGACTGTGTATTCGTTGTTCCTTTGCCCTTAGTTTATAGATAAAGAAATACACAGTAGCGATGACGATTCTACAATATCCAAATCAATCCAAATTTGTTTTTGTTAACAGACGCTACTCTTGTATTATAGGTTGAATAATGGTTTGAAGTGGATTTAGACATCAACTATCTGCTAGGTTGAGCTATCTATAAAATTTGAAACTTTGCAATGTAACACATCAGATTAAAATACACGTCAGATAAGCAGTAAGATCTAAGATATTTGCCTGATTTCATTGGCGAATCGTAACTTGGACAAAATATCATAATTGACGTAGTTATAACACGTTGCCACTTATAACTATGTATCTAACTTGTGATGATGTCTTTATCTATTCGACAGATTCGATCATAGCTACAAGTAAAAGAAGTATTTCGTATAAGTTTGACAACACCGCACTGTACCTATATGTCGTGTCAGTTCATGACACAATTTACATGAGTCTACATCAAAGTTTATTTATTTATTTTATTCGGAACACCAAACGCTTTTATTCATTTCACTTTACTCAATTTTAAATCAAAAAAGCTATTAAAAGTATTCGCATATCAAAATTAAAATGTATATAGACCGCACAAGCTTTATCATACTAAAATCCATCAATTAAAGAATACTAAAAGTAGGGAAAGGAACTTGAAACACTTTGCGCCCTCCTTTCACCCAAGGAGGGTCGCGTCCGTTTACGGCTTAAAGATCTCTCGATAGATCATTAGCCAATCCCAAAAGGCAGTGTTTAGTGGGTAAAAATCTCCTCATAACCACGCAGCCGGCTGCGGGCATTCACCACCTCCCTCCCCGTTTACCGGAGGATAGCCCTTATTTGCTTCGGGCGCAAAAAAAATGCGAGCGAAAGAGTAAGAGCGCGATTCGTTCGTTGTGTGCATAGATAGTATTTTTTAGAATATAATTTTGCTGAAAATACTAACTTTCCTCGCTAAATGGCGTTACTTAGCTTCCGAGCGAGAAAAGAACTAATCGTCTTATCACCAGCAGTAACGTCCAGTCTCTGATAGATTTCCTTTAGAAACTTTACAGCACGTGAACCCCACGGACCGATAGTCTCTACAGCCAATTACACAAATATGTAGTCATCTCTCAGAGACACATATTTACGCGGCTTACTTAGATCAGCTACCTCTGATGCCGCCCTGCTTTATACGAGGTATTCCTGAGATGAGAAGCTGCCAGTGTCTCCGCAAGTAACATCCCACACCTCTCTACCGAGGGATTAATATCATACCCTCAAGTCTCTTGTCTTCTTTTTCGTTTTTGAATATTATTTTTCTTTTATTTATTTAGAAAATATTTGATTCTAATACCTACTTATTAATTCGGTGGTTCTATAATATGTTGAATCTATATATTTTGTTCTTTTTGACGTGGTAGAGCCGGGCTGCAGCTATATTATAGTTGTATCACGAATGGGTCGATTTGACCGGGGTGGACCACGCTCTCACAGAATACCAGAATCGAGGTATTCCATCTTAGTCCTTAGGGGTGACAACGCATTTGCATTTTGATCCTTAGTTGAGGATAAATGTGGATGTCTATGGGCCACAGCATCCACTTACCATCAGGTGTACTGTGTGCTCGTTTGTCACCCAATGATATAAAAAATATAGCTAGCATTGTTGTTAAATATAGGTGCTTACTAAAATATAAATAAAATAAGTATGTGATACATACTAAATATACCTTTTTTATTTCAATCCTACCTACTTACTTACGTAATGATAGTTTTCCCAACCCAACGTAAAGTAAGATAGAAAAACAAATTTATAAAAAAGTAATAATATGTAACAATTTATTTACTCTGTTACGTCCTGTTAACTCGAGTTATAACTCAAGATGCGTGAATTTCAACCGGAGTTAACTCGAGTTGTGTTTTTTCCGAGTTGGCACATCTATACAAGGCGCAGACAGAGAAACCTATCTCTGTCTACGATACAAGGAGTTAAAGTTGTTCAAAACGACTATAAATTAATAACACGCTACTGCCTATAAACTATAAATTTCTAGCGCGCTATTAAATACGCTATGTTATAGCGCGCTATTTATATAAGAAAGCGTGTAGAAGGCTGGCAAGCGCGTAAAGTTTTGCAGCACGCTATATCTCGTAGCATGTTTCATTATAATATGTCGTTCGTTGGATTGACCGCGCGTGTAATAAATCGCATTCTAGACTAAAATAAAGCGGTAAAGAAAATCCAATGAACACTTTTTTATACTTTTCAGGCTTACGACTTTCTATAATCCTAAAAATATTATGCCCTTCGATCACTTATAGATATACAGTGTACACTAACTAAGTAAGTCTAACACTAAATTAGATCGCGCGCGATGAATAGCGTCTTACTAGATCAAATTTGCGTCACACAACCACTCCCAACAGCGCTGCTGCTAGGACTAGTTGCCGCTAAATATTAATACTTAACAGCGCCACAGCGCCATGGCGACTACTTACATAGCACGCGCTATGCTCTATGGAGATAGCGCGCTATAATATGGCGCTATGCGCTATATTAACCACCATTACAAGGAGTGTGGGCCTTTTTTATTAACTGCGTAGACAGAGAAACCTATAGACAAATTGACGCCTTCTTTCGCATTCGCACACGAAAAAGATAGATTTATGCATACGTCTTGCATAGAAATGAGATAGAGCGGTGTGATTGTTTGTCCCTTTCTCCGTACCGGTTTTTTTGTTTAGCAAACTCTACAGTTTGCTAAACAACTTTTACAGCGTAGCGATTTAAGGGGTGTACAAGTTGGTTTAAGTGAGAAAAAAGTGTTTTGTGAGCTTAAGATTTCTATTTCTATTTCTTTTATTGGATGTACACAACAGTTTACATTCAATTTTATGTAACATAAATAACTATTATATACAAAGTTTTGAACTGGAATACAAACCAAAAACGCGTACATACAGTTGCAACATGAATTATCCGTAAACATATTTATGTATTATATTTTACTCAAAAAAAAACAATTTATAAATTTAACAAATTTTACGACAATATAGTAAAAGTTTATTATGACGATAAATAATTAATGTGGAGTTGACTTGAAGTAGTGGAGTAGTTGAGTACGTAGCTTATTTACATTATTGTCAAAGACATCAATGTCCTTACCTGACTCCGTTAGAACTATATCATTATAAGAGCGACACATTCGTGTTAAAGGATTGTAAAATGAAGTATTGTTCTTATAGACGTTTAATATAAACGTATTAAGACGACGCCTGGGATTAGACTTAATATTGAAAGTGATTTGTGATAAAAGATCTGGGGAAACAATTTTGCAGTGTATTAGTTTATGTAAGCAAAGAATATCTTGTATAGCACGTCTATTACGCAGTGATGAAACTCCAAATGTAAGTAGTCTCTCCTGATAAGACGGTAGCTTGCGACTTATTTTCAGCCTATAACTAACTATCTTAAGAGCTTTGTTTTGGAGCATTATTTTGCAAATCAATACAATCATTAAGGTCATTAATTTTCTTGAACACTTTGAGGTCATCTGCGTATAATAGACAAGGACAGGTTAGTTTTGGGATTAGGTCGTTTATAAAAATAAGAAAAAATAGAGGGCCCAGATGAGATCCTTGTGGTATACCTGATTTAATGATGACGGCAGTTGATTTATACCCCTTTACAGTAACTAATTGGCTACGGTTTTCTAAATAAGACTGTATCCATCGGAACAAATTACCATGGATGCCGTACCACTTGAGTTTCTGAGAAAGCAATGCATGATTCACTTTGTCAAAAGCCTTACGAAAATCGGTATATATTGTGTCAACTTGACCACTTACTGCGAAGGCTAAACAAAGATATGCCTTATATTCCAATAGATTTGATATTGTGGACTTTCCCTTGACAAAACCATGCTGTTGCTCAAAGAGAGCTGGTTGTACATGATAATAAATTCGATCATATATTACAGATTCAAACACTTTCGCGATACAAGAAAGAATACTGATCGGTCTATAGTTTTCGCATAACGAATAATCACCTGATTTGTGTATTGGGACAACATGTGCAAGTTTCCACTCTGATGGAAACAACCCTGCTCTTAAAGACTTATTAAAGAGATTTGTCAAGGGTAGACTTAGTTCAGTAGCACATCTTTTGAGGAATGTAGGTGGTATTTGGTCTGGTCCTGCCCCTTTATTAAGATTTAGTTGCTTTAATTTAAGAGTTACATCATGTTTTGACACAGTAAATTCCGATAGCACATTTTCACACATTTTGAGTGATGGCAGTACTGATTGGGTGGAATCTTCGAATACTGAACTAAAGTACTGCGATAGTAAATCGCAAATTCCTGCTGCGTCTGAAGCTCTGGCATTACCAAGCGTTATTGTGCTTGGGATACCTTTTTTAGCTTTTCTGTTATTAACAAAACTCCAATAAGCTTTGGTATTCGTTTTGATAGCGTCTTCAGTTACGTTAATAAAAGCAGAATAACATTCCTCCAACAGAGACTTGGATCTAGCACGCAGCATGGAAAATGTATCGTAATCTCGGGGATTACCATACATTTTATACTTTTTATGGAATTTTTTCTTTTCTGCAAGGCACTTTTTTAGCGCTGTTGAGAACCATATTGGGTGAGTGGAGGCTTCTTTTTTTAAAGGAACGTATTTAACAATAATTTCGCTAATTACTGAATAAAAGGAATCCACCGCCAAGTCAACTTGGACGTCTGAAAGGAGAGTCCCCCAATCAACACCCTTGATTTCTCTACGTATAGCATCATAGTTACCTTTATCAAAATTAAAACGTTTATTATACTTAGGTTTGATATACTTTGGCTTAGACAGTGTGTTAACCGATATTTCAAGTGAAGGGTGATATTTATCGATACGGGATAATGGAATAGTTTCAGAAATTAAAATACTAGTAGAGGAGGACAAAACAAGGTCTAAAGTGCGATCTAATTCATTCCGAACATGATTCATCTGATATAAATTGCATTGAGAAATGTAATCACATAATAATGTAGCCTTAGAGTCTGTGGGACAGCTTGGAGCAAGGTAAGGACTATTACCATTTAGATTAACAGACCATGATAAACTTGGCACATTGAAATCTCCCAGTACTATATTAGTGTCATTTGAGGATATTGTACTTAAATTTTTATGTAAGTTCTCGTAAAAGTACTTAAGTTTATTAGAGGGTAAATCAGGAGGAAGGTAACAGAGACATAGGTTAATGACAGACTTCATTGGACAATCGAGCAAAACCGATATCCACAATTCTTCAATGTCACTCTCCCATTCTTTATGGCGAATTACCTTAAACTACTTTTTAATAGCTATCAGTACACCTCCACCTTCAGATTTGTTAATACAAGTAAACTCTCGGTCTCTCCGATATACAATGTAACGACAATCGAACAGCTCATTATCAAATACAGTATGATTTAAGTTTGTTTCAGTTAAACAAATACAATCGTAATTGCAATTTAGTATGTTTAAATATAACTCCGTTGTCTTTGATCTAATACGATTTACATATTGGTAGTAAAATTTCATGTAAGAACGTTGTTAAGAATCCAAGTAAATGTATCAGTCAATTCAGCTATTACAATTTTTTTAATTCACGTAATCTAAAACAAACTCATTTTACTTTAAGTTTCTCAAAGTTACTAAAGTCTCTAATCAATAATGCTGATTCGTTGTCATTTTTCCGCATGTACACACGTTCATATTTAACCCAAACATATTTGTATGAGTTATCTTTCGCAAACTTCCTAGCTTCAGCATAAAGCTTTTTGGTAGTAGAAGAGAGATGTTCATTTACATATATGGCACGATATTCTCCTTCAATCCCAAGGCAGGTAGAGTTTAAGTGATTGGGGTGGTTAGTCTTGTTGTAACGTTTTACTGCCGATAATAAAATGTCCCTCTGCCGCTCAGTTTGTAGTGTAAGGAGAATGTTTCGTGGTCTGTCGGACTTTGGATTAATTTTAGCAATTCTACGAACAGCACAGATGCAGTTCGTATCCAGACTTACATTCACGGTGTCATAATGTTTTTGTATAAGATGTAGTAAATTTTCATGACTTTTTCCGGAACCATTTGGATTTCAACGTTATGGCTTCGTGAGATTTTTTCGACGCTCATTAAACGACGATCTAATGACTCAATATTTGACTTAAGTGTAGTTCGCTCAAGTTCTAGGGTTTTAATTTTATTATTAGCCACATCAAGTTCCTTTAGAAGGTCATCCTGCCCTTTCTGAAGAAAATCGGTGGCTACTGTGAAATCCGATTCTAACTTATTGATGGTATGGTTAAATTCTTTCGTCACCATTGCATGTACTTCTTGCACTACATCTATCTTGAAAGTACTTAGTTTACGATCGAGTAGAGGTTCGATTTGTTCTATGGTAACGGAGTCCGAGTTTTTTTGTCGCAACGCGTGTTGAGATGCACTGTTACTAGATTTTTTCAAGCGTGATGATCGTTGCAGCTTTTCATCACAGGACATATTAGAAATATCTGCCTGACTTGCTTGGAGGGAACGTATGTCGCGCTTACCAACTGGTGTACTATCATTTCTGCGCCGAGTTATATTAGTACAGGATGGGCAATACCACTTCTGCTTTTTTTCCACGTATTCGTCAAAATACACTTGTTTCTCTATGTTGCAACAATCGTAATGAAACGTATTGTCACAACCAGCGCATTTAATGAGGCCGCCATCTTCGATAATGTGTTTACACGCACCACATTCCATGCTCGTAATTGAATCGAATAGTTCGAAATAATGAACAAGACCAAATACTCAAGATGTTAACAAAACGAACTGAGAAGTTAAGAACTGAACTGAACAAGATTGGTGAATCTTGTTCAGTTCAGTTCTTAGAACAATTAAAATTTTTATCTAAATGTGTTTAAAAGTCATAAAGATTATTGTATAACCTAAAAATTCGTTATCGTCCTTTCTCACTCGAGGCCACGCCGATCATTAGTCTATAGGTTTCTCTGTCTACGATTAACTGGCTTTACGGCTCTGGGTTCTAGCCCTTCTGAGCCTAAGAGTGTGGGCCGAAAGCTTGTTAATATGGAGTATAGAGGTAAGGAGAACATACTGTGTATTAATAAGTGTAGAAATCGAAAAGCGTTAAATAGGGGTGGCGCCACTGTAGCTAGAGGGTTAACATTTTTATTGCACAGGCTTTCACATAATTCTTTTTTTATTTTTTTTTTAAAATTTTTATTTTCAAAATCACTCTTAACGTGTTTTACGGCGACTTTCTCTAGGTTATTTTTACTAAATTATTTTAGACAACGTGAGTAGTTGAGGTTTTAAATACTGCAGTTTCATTAACTATACTTTAGTCACCACAAATATTAAATTTCTCAACTCAGCACATTTCACTCCGTCGGCAACTGCTAAGTTCATTTTATACCTCTAGCTTCTCCAGCGCTGTTGTGGAGGGTATTCGAACTGTTATTTACTCCTTACAGATGACACTTTCTCAATCATTCTCCTATGTGAGTTGGTTCTCCTTACCTCTACACTCCATGCTTGTTAATATTTGAAGGTTTAGTCCGAAATAATTCCAAGTTGCTGTTACCAAATGAGAGATTGTTGAAAAAGTTACTTGCGCGAATAAATAAAGAGTTATCGTTATAGAATATTTTAAGAGAGACTACGATAATTAGTGTTAGCTCCGGGCTTGCTAAGGTTGGGTAGGTATTACAGGTAATTTTCTCGGTACCCAGATGTTAACTTGCTCTAATAAGTAAGGGTAATCCATAAGACCACTAACAAGTTTTATTTACTAATAATTAACAGTCATAATATCTGATATTTGCCGTATTCTGTCTAGGGATAAAAGTAATATCTTCTACACCTCGTCCCATATCCATAACCTATCAAGCTTGTTTCGCATACAATTTTCTACAAAATTATTCAAACTGCATTGTAACCGTTCACAATCAGCGAAGCTATTGATGCTCATAAACATTTTAGTGTTGACTGCGTATAATAAGAGTCTGGCATGTTCACAACATAAAGCAATATCGTTAATAAAAATTACAAATAGCAACGGCCCTAATAATGAGCCTTGAGGCACGCGGCCGTAAGCCCGTTAATTGTAATCGCCTGGGATCTTCTACTAATTTGCGATGAAAACCATCTATAGGTTACCGAGTATACCAGCTTTATAAAGCTTCTCAAGGAGCAACAGGTGGTCTATACGACCAAAAGCTTTACTGAAATCGGTAAATTTAGTAAATTATAAAGAAGTATAACCAATAAAATAATAAATTGGGTACAGATGACTATTGTCTTATAAATCAAAAAACTAAGTCTTGAAATGTGAAATAAAAAAAGTTGTAAATATTTCATCTTATTGTTTTATCATCATCTCAATCATAACAAACTTAAAAGCTAAAACTAAGCTAAGTAATTATTTACATTTGTATAATCAAGCATGAGCTTGTATACTCTGTGGCTCAACTGATTCTCTCGTGTCGACAAATGGATTGATCGGTGATCTGGCAGAATTCTGAAAAAGGAAGATACAATGAGATAGAGACTCGGTAGGTGTAGAGATCCGAGAGAGCGTAATTGCCCGAGTAGGTTACTCGGGCGGCGGTATCGTCGGACATCAAAGGCGTTTCACAATTACTGTAAGGTTTTAAAACTGTGGTAGTAGTATGTAATGTATTGTTTTTTGAAGTCTACTAAAAATATAGATAGCTCACCAATTTCTTAGCTCGTTCCGTGAGAATGGAGAATGCAAAGTGGTTCAATATGACGCCGGTCGGCAGAGCTACGCCTTGGAACCTATATAACTGCTTCACGTCGCTCTCCGGTGAACCTAAAGTGAGACATTTTAATATTTTTAAACAACCTAGAGTTTTTTTCGGAATCATGTGGTTATTTCCTTTCATTTATTCGTTACAGGCTATCAAATCCACTGCTGAACGTAAACTTCCTCCATAGATTCCTTTGTAGACGGATACTTTGTTGGTGGAAACCGCAATTTTTTTCTAGTTTTTTATAGATTAAGGGTGATAAACGAGCACACAGTCCACCTGATGGTAAGTGGATGCTGTGGCTCATAGACATCTACATTTATCCTCGATTAAGAATCAAACCGCAGATGCGTTGTCACCCCTGAGGACTAAGATGGAATGCCTCGATTCCAGTAAAAAAGTGTCTCCGGTTCTCTACATCCTGCTTTTGTAGGAGGCGGGAGGCCCAATTCCCCCCCCCCCTTAACATGGTAGCGGAATTAAGTAAAGATCTACCCCAGGAGGGTACCAGCACCCCTGGACAGTCCTTCGCTGAGCATCCACGACCAAGTTACTCCATTCCTAAGCGTGGGTGCTCAGGCTGCCCCGAGTATTCTAGAGGGGGGGGGGACAAAATTCCGCTCACGACAACAACTGCTCTCTGCTGATGCTTCGTATCTCTCCTACCCGGGGTACAAACTGGAACACTCCTTTGTGCCTCGGGCTGGATTTTGCGTATACGTCAGAGAGGACACCTGTTCTCGACGCCTCGGCAGTCTTGAAGGTTCGGACCTATCCATCCTTCGGCTACGCGTAGAGAGCGACGACCATCCATGCGTCTACGAGTGCTTCTATAGGTCAATAGCGGTAATGCCGAAACAGACAGACTCTTCAACCACATCCAAATGGCTACAGATTCGTTGCTACAACAGATCCCCTCCGCAGAGAACGTGATCCTCAGCGATATTAACGCCCACCACGCCGAATGGCTTGGTTCACGTTCAACGGATCATGCGGGGAGATCCGTTCACGATTTTGCCTTAGCATATGGTCTGACACAATTGGTTACTTCGCCTCCGCGGATTCCAGATGTGGAGGATCATGCACCTTCCCTGTTGGACCTTCTGCTGACCTCTCATCCGGACGGATACCAGATTTTCGTCGACGCCCCTTTAGGCTCTTCCGACCATTGTCTTGTCCAAAGAGTGTTGCCACTCACGCTGAAATCGCGGTTGCATTCCTATGGGCTTCCCGAGAAATTATGTAATTGGATCACCAGCTTTCTTGCAGATCGTAGCATCAAGGTCGTTGTAGACGGTGCTAGCTCCGATTACAAGCCTATTAATGCTGGTGTTCCACAAGGCTGCTTGCTATCACCAACGCTGTTTCTTCTGCATATCAATGATATGTTGCAAACCAGCAACATTCATAGCTATGCAAACGACAGCACTGGTGATGCTCTGTACACCGGCCGTGCTAATATTTCTCGGGAAAACGTCTCCGGGATAAAAGTCTTTGCTGAACAAAGTCTAGGATAGGGGGCGACTAAATGTAATCCAATTTAACCCTCAGAAGACACAAGTTTGCGCGTTAACCGCTAGAAAGTACCCCTTTGTCGTATCTCCTCAGTTTCAAGGCACTCCCCTTGTTGCCTCCGCCAGTATCGGAATTCTAGGCGTCGATATATAGAGTGAAGTGCATTTTCGTGGTCAGTTGGAAGCGATGGCCAAATTGGCTTTTAAAAAGCTTAGCGTGCTCAGCAGAGCGGGACAGTATTTCACGCCGGTACACCGCCTGCAACTTTGCAAGGCGCAGGTTCGGCCGCATATGGAATACTGTTCCCATCACTGGGCTGGGGCTCCCCAGTGCCAGCTCCTTCCATTTGCCCGCATCCAGCGCAGAGCGGCTCGAATCGTCGAGTGCTTTCCGATCGGCTCGAATCACTGGCACTGCGAAGAGATGTTGCATCTCTTTGCGTATTTTATCGCATCTATCACGGGGAGTGCTCTGAGGAATTGTTCGGATTAATCCCAGCCGCCAAATTTCATGAACGCACTACGCGGCAAACCTCTCGATAACATCCACACCATCTAGATGCTTGGCGGTTCACCACTGTACGTTTCACTAGGAGTTTTCTTCCGCGTACGACCTCTCTGTGGAATAGTTTACCACCGGCGATTTTTCCGGATCGATACGACCTGAGGACCTTCAAGAAAAGAGCTTACTCCTTTCTAAAGGGCCAGCAACGCACCTGCAATTCCTCTGGTGTTGCGGATGTTCATGGGCGGCGGTAGCCATTAACATCGTATGCTCGTTTACCCTCTCTTTTATAAAAAAAACAACATACGAAACTCAGCAGTATTAAGCTGCTATTTTATGCTGGTATTCTGTGTAACCATAATATAGCTGCAGCGTGGATTAGAAAGACGCTACTGCCAATCTCCGTGTTCGTTTCCCTCTGTCGCGTCTTAAGACATCCACGGGATAATATTATGGGGTAGTGGATATTCTTGCACCGCCACGACACGGTAAAGTGGACTTATACCAAACGACAAAAAAGAATAGAAAGAAGATAACAAGCAAACTCACCGAGTAGTTTATGGACTGCAGCCACAAAGACTTTTCCGATCTGCCCGCTACTACTTATCATGGGTCCCTTTGATATGTCCACGTGTTTGCCTACTTTGTACAATGTCACTTTACCTACACAATCATAAAAAAGTTACAGTTAGGTACAATTACTGTTATTGATTTAAAGTTACAATCTGAATACATCTCACACTGTATGAAACTAGTTTTACGGATTTTATCACGTTTAATGACGTGGGCATCCACGACTTTGACGAACCCAGAGGGTAAAAATTGGAGACTACCAAAGTAAAGATTTCAACATTATTTACAGCGTACCACAGGGGAGTGTCTTAGGCCCTACTCTATTTTTGATATAAATCAGCTCACAGAATTGAATATTGAACGTGGCCAAGTCTTTTCAAATGCTAATGATACTGCTATTGTGTTCTCCTGCAAATCCATAATATATAAGCGTATGGTCTATATACGAGTACATAATGTATTACGCATACATCCGCGATGATTACATAAGGTACTCCTAATTTGGCCGATCTTCAATATATTGCCAATTTCGTCGACAAACATCCATCCAGAGCGACCCTGTCGACACTGCCATTCGCTTTTGTAGCATAAATTTGTTTAATTACTCTTTCCTTGTTTTTGTTTTGTATGCCAGATGTAGGTCTTTAATCTCGCTGACAAAATGGTAGGAATCCTTTATGTGTGCTCTTGTATGTCCCCCGAGCGGTGAGAGTATTTTCGCTAAATGTTGAGCTAATCTGTAAGTTGGTGAATCGATTTGTCTCACTATGGGACGTATGACCCCAATGCTCCACGGGCTTGTGTATTTTTGGTAACCCATACAACTTTGGTGATTTGGCACACGTAGGTATAAACGATTTCAAACTACGTCGGTTATTTCTGACACCAGGATGGCGCCTGTTAGGAATGAGGTGCAATACTGCACAGATTTCGTAACGGGGGAAGTTAATTTATTAGAAAAGTGTAGAGATTAATGTTTCTTTCTTATATATTAGTTATATTTTATAATAGATTAAAATAGATAAACTAAACTATGAATATTCCTAAAAGTACAATAGTTAAGAAAATATTTTTTATAGTATAAGGATGCCAAATGAGTACACAGTCCACTTGATGGTAAGTGGATGCTGTAGCCCATGGACATCTACATTTATCTTTGATTAAAAATCAAAACGCAGATGTGTTTTCACCCCTGATAAATAAGATGGAATGCCTCGTTTCTAGTAAAAAAATGGTCTCCGGATCTCTACACTCACCATACGAAACACAGCAGTATTAAGCTGCTATTTTACGCTGGTGTTCTATGAGAGCTTGGTCCTTCCCCGGTCGAGCCGCTGCTGCCGCTGAGCTGTATGAAAAAACGTTACAACACCAGCTAGTCAATACAATTTTCATATATGTTTATATAAGATAGTTACTAGCATAGAGGGAATCCTTAAAGAACGCATTAGTATATATAGAAGAGTTTTCTGAATAAAATACACGTCAAACTCAGCTGTACGTTCATAAGATCTTTGTCCGTCTTAACTGATGAATTGCGTACGATTATTTTTTCTATAGCCCCTAAGTTTGATTTAATAATACATAGTAAATTATTTTATTGATATCTGTAATGGTGACTAAAGTAGACGCTTAATAATTCCATCACCTATTATTTCGCCATTGTCCCTTGTGTATGCAAAAAAAACTCATATATACCTACAAGGCCGCGCTGAAAAAACCACTACGTAATTTCAATCTCCCACCATTTCGGGAGTTTACTGTGCGTAATTTTGTGATTTTGTGTTTGTCTTCTTATTTTGTGACTCTGTTTTAACTTTTTGGACTGTTTCTTCTATATTCGTTGAAGCATGTGCCCATGTTAAAAACGTTGATTGGGCAAAAGTGGTAGAAAAACAAAAAAAAAAAGATTATGGATGACTTTGAGACATTAAGTTTGACTGCATTCATCATCATCATCATTACAGCCCTTCACAAGTCCACTGCTGAACATAGGCCTCCCCCCAAGTAATGCCACAAAGCACGGTCCTGAGCCACCTGCATCCATCGACTTCCTGCATGTCTTACCAGGTCGTCACTCCATCTAGTGGGGGGTCGCCCTACACTACGCCTACCGGTACGAGGCTGCCACTCGAGAACCTTTCTTCCCCATCGGTTATCGGTTCTTCGAGCTATATGGCCGGCCCATTGCCACTTCAGCCTACTAATCCGTTGGGCTATGTCGGTCACTCTGGTTTCACTGCGGATATCCTCATTTTTGAGTCTATCACGCAGTGAAACTCCGAGCATAGCCCTCTTCATAGCTCGCTGAGCGACCTTGAGCGTCCTCATACGGCCAGCGGTGAAGGACCACGTCTCAGATCCGTAAGTCATCACTGGCAACACGCACTGGTTGTACACTTTAGTTTTCAGAGATTGAGGTATACCTGATGAGAAGATGTGTCGTAATTTCCCGAACGCTGCCCAGCCGAGTTGAATCCGTCGATTGACCTCTCGGTCGAAGTTGGACTTACCTAGTCAGACTATTTATCCCAGGTAAACGTACTCGTCAACAACTTCGAGCATAGTGCTCCCAACAATTACCGGCATAGGTGTGACATGGACATTAAACATGATCTTTGTTTTGTCCATGTTCATCTTAAGCACTATCCGGTGGGAGACACCATTGAGGTCATTGAGCATAGTGCTAAGGTCCTCCACCGATTCTGCCATAAGGACTATATCGTCGGCAAATCGAAGGTGAGTGATGTACTCGCCATTGATGTTAATACCGTATCCTTTCCAGTCCAGTAGCTTGAAAACGTCTTCCAACGCAGCCGTGAAGAGTTTCGGCGATATAACATCACCCTGTCTTACACCCCTCTGCAGTTGGATACGTTTCGTACTCTGGTTCTGTACTCGGATAGCTATCGTAGCCCCACTGCACAAACACTTCAGCACTTCAATATACCGATAGTCAACTAGGCACCGCTGAAGAGACTGTAGCACCGCCCAAATTTCGACGGAATCAAAGGCTTTCTCATAGTCCACATACGCCAGGCAAAGTGGCAGATTGTACTCTTCGGACTTCTGTACAATTTGCCGAAGGGTATGTATGTGGTCTATGGTACTGAAGCCTTTTCGGAAACCGGCTTGTTCGGGAGGCTGGAAGTAGTCGAGTCTGCGTGCGAGACGATTCGTAATGACTCTCGAAAACAGCACGTAGACGCGGCTCAGAAGGGAAATCGGTCTGTAGTTCTTCAAGAGAGCGTTGTCGCCTTTCTTAAAGAACAAGACCACCGCGCTTCTGCTCCACGCCTCCGGAGTAATGCCACCATGGAGGACGGAATTGAAGAGCTTCTGAAGGACTTCAAGTACCGGTGTTCCACCCGCTTTCAGAAGCTCCGCTGTAATTCCATCCTCGCCCGGGGCCTTGCCGTTTTTAAGGTGGTGGAGAGCCATTCTAATCTCGCTCAGACTGACGTCCGGGATATCATCGGAATAGTGTCGGATAAGACTTGATCTTGGATCGTTACTCACACTTGCGTGTGGCTCCAACGATGATGTGTACAGCTGCCCATAGAACCTCTCAATCTCACTCAGAATCTCAGGTGTCCCGGAAACGATGTTGCCACACTCAGTCTTCAGCCTTGACAGTTGGCTCCTTCTGGCAGACAGATCTCTGGCAAAGACTTTGGAGCCCTGGTTCCGCTCGATCGCTTCTTTAATACGAGCAGTATTAAAGTTGCGTAAGTCTCGCCGCATGCATTTGGAGATCTGTCTGTTCAGCTGTATGCTGTCAAATCTGTTGACGATTGCAGCCTCATCTCCCGTCCAACAGCCATGAGATTAAGAGTGTGATCGGAGAGTTTTTGTGTTTTTTCTGCGGCGGGTCTTGCAGAACTTAGCTCCGACCGCATGGACAGTTTCCACGAGCTTGTCATTCATTTTTTTTGACTGCATTATTGAAAATCAAATAATAATAAATCTAAACAACGGCAGCTCAAGTACTTATACTGAAAGTGATGGAATAAATTTATTTTTAATCTAGTTTCAACATAAGTAAATAACAAATACGAAGAAACTGATAAATCTTGTGTTTTAAATTAACCGTTTTTAATTTATTCTGCTATTATTCAAATCAAACTATAAATGATTACTAACTCTAAATAATCGATATCGATTTTTTGAAGAATCGAATATTGTACGTTCCCATTTTTTCATGCATATAGACATGTAGACATGCTTGGTGCAATAAGTCTGACAGCTGTCAAAATGTATTTCTTAAATTTGGTGGACTATAAATTCTTTTGTGTGAATTAGCGAATTGAAGGCATATAACTTGAGATGTTACTACGGATTTACAAAACTACAGAGGCTACCAATATAAACAATAAGGGTTAATTGTCTACTCCTGTCAAAGCCCGTACTACCTTTAGCTTTAATAATTTTTTTGAATAGATAAATGGGACAATATGAGAAAATTTACTATTAAAAATTCCATGTCTAAGATCTCACGGCGTTCCGCTACCGTAAGAAGATTAAATTTACGACAATTATCACTACAAGACATAAATGTGTGTGCAGTGCCGTCGCACCTGAAATTTAGAGATTTTAAAAACTTTTTCTGAATACGCTCTAAGCGTGCCTTATAAACTTCATATGAAGGCGACCATATAGTACTAGCGTACTCCAATATGCTTCTCACGTATGCAAAATATAACGTTTTCAATGCCAAAGTACCTTTAAACGGTTGACAGGTTCTTAGAACAAATCCAAGCATAAGGTAAGCTCTATCTGCTATATTATCATAATGCATATTGAGGAGCATCGTGGAGTCAAAACAAATGCCGAGATCACGTACATCATTGACTCGCGTTAATACTTGATTATTAAAGTTATAAGGAAAGACAATTGGACTTTTCTTGCGCGTAAAACTTATATTCTGACATTTTTTAATATTGAAGAAGATCTTGTTTTGTTGATAATAAGAAGTTTTATCCAAATTGTATTGTAGCAATCTACAATCTTCAACAGAATTAATTGCCCGATATATTTTTTTAACATCTGTATATAATAGGTGATTAGAATAATAAAAACAGTTAGCAATGTCAAAGATGTACGCATTGTAGAATAGCGGGCCAAGATGCGATCCCTGAGGGACACCCGAGGTAACAGTTACATAGTCGGATCGTATCCGCCCAGCACTACAGCTTGAGAGCGATTGGAAAGGTAGGAGCACACCCAGCGGAGAAGGTCTCCTTGAATTCCAAGCAAATAGAGCTTGTGGATCAGGAGGTCGTGGTCCACACGGTCGAAAGCTTTTTCGAAATCAGTGTAGACCACTTCCACCTGATCACTATTATCCATATGCAGGAGGACATAATTTGAGAACAGAGACAAATTTGATACCGTAGACCGTCCTTTTATGAAGCCATGCTGTGTATCAGGAATACCACGGATTATAATGAGGTAGATGAAGCTGTAAACGATTTTTTCAAAAGATTACTAATAGTGTTCAAAATAGAAATCGGACGGTAATTGTCTGAATAATTGTGGAATTATATTTGCTTTTTTTCCATAAAACGGGGAAAATACATTCATCGAGAGAATGACAAAACAAAATTGTAATAGGCAATGACAAGCTATCAGCACATGAAATCAATACAATAGGGGGAATACCATCGGTTCCAGATCCCTTAGATTTATCAAGTGATTTTAGGAATTTAATCCAGGATGATATATATCTTCCTTTATGAGTGGTAAAGAAGTTATAACAACTAATGGCAAATTGCAAAAACATACATCCAGAATATTACCTTTTGAGTTACAATTATAATTATATTGCTTGAGACCGAGGTACCCTAAATCGTCAACGAAAGATATCGCTAAATTATCCATAAAAGATGAACCGTCTACGTGTGCAATACAATTGTTGGAGTCCCATCTCAAACACGGTAAGTTAAAATCTCCCACCAGTAAAAAATTGTCCATGGGACAATTGTCAATGCAATGCGATAAGTTTTGCTTAATATTGTTGCGCGCCTAAGTTGACTTCATGTACCCGGCACTAGCGCCATCTAGTGTCGGGGACGAGAGCGAGGGGATCTTTCCAGAAAATGACATCACTAATCTTTCAACCGACAGCGTCATCTAGTATCGAAACGAAGAACTAAGCTTCTAGAAGCCCGACACTCGAACTTTTGGCGCCTAGTCGATTGGCGCGCGTATTTACTTGAATATTCTGGATGTTTCGGTGATAATGTGTATTTAAAGGCGCGAAGCTTCGGAGCGGAATAAAGTGAATCAGTGTGATTAATTATTAGTGTTTTAAGTTTAATTAGTGTAAAGTGAATTATAGTGTTAATTTTGGTAATTCAATAGGCAGTTTTTATTGTCACGAACCCTAAGCTCGTAACAATATCACTCAATCCACTCTGTATTACGTTCGAGTCAGGTGGAATATACGCTATAGCTATATGTAAATCGACTGAGGACCCAAGCGTACGTGCAGGTAAAGTCACGCACACCGACTCATGCGTTGTAGGTGCACTGGACCATTGGCCGCATAGACATGCACTCAATTCGCGAAGTATGCAGACTAACACTCCGCCACCGGCCTTTTTCCTTGACAATAAATAATCACGATCACTTCGAAAAACATCATATCTAAGATCATATAGTTCGTTATTATAAATATCACTTTTTAAGCAGGTTTCGGTCAATAAGATTATATCATAATCTTGAGATAAAATATTGTTATATAGCTCATTACATTTCGTCTGTAAACCACGAACATTTTGATTTTAGTACAGGCTTAAACCCTTTTTTAAATTTTTATAAACGACTATTAAAACAAAGAACAATTAAAGTGAATAATGAATAATAAACAAACAAAAATAATGTGTTCCGAGTTACTTTACTGTTTATAATGATAAGCTGTAATTTAGACTCACAATAAGAATATAAATTTTGGTAGGTATTTGAAAATAAAGTACTAAGGTCGGAACTTAACAATTTTATGTAGTTTTGTATATAAATATTAGATAATACATTAATGGTAATCCTCTTAATCAAGCAATCGTTGCATGTATATATTAAGCGTAATTTGTATTTATATTAAATGTTTATGTGTATATAAATAGTAACCATATATGAATTTAGAGCGAAAAACAAAACTAATCGATTCCTTTTCAACATCACTAATATTAAAGGAATTATCATTCCTTTGTTGTTTTGTGAGCACGAATCCCATATTAACTGAGCAGTTAACCACACAGATCGATAAAAGGTGCTTATGTATGTATGAGTATATATTAAGTATAAATAACAATATAGTATAAAGATTAAAGTGTATAGTGTATATAAAATAATAAGTCTATAGTATATATAATAAAGTATTTGAAAAATGTTTGTATATATATAAATAGTAACATTATTTAATTTTAAAAAATATTCAGCCACACTATTATAGAACAATACGAGTACACCGTTTAAGATAAATAACAATAGTCGTAACTTAAAGTAACACAGTCATTTAATTTTATTTAATTCTAAAGAGTTTTTATGTGAATTTTAGGGGAATTATCGTCTTTCCTTACATAAATTCTACAGTTACGAACCCACACGTATTAATATATAGGATTTACACATTTAGCGGCGACTCTAGTTTGTTTTAGCAGCATTTTATTAGCAGGTGTGAGGTGTTCATTAACATATATATTTTGCGACTCTCCCGGGATTCCTATGGCCATTGCAGTTAAAAACCCTTCTTCTTACGTACAGCAGAGATGATGCTGTCTCTCAAGAGGATTGATTTTAGTTGAACCACAATATTTTTTGGTGATTTATTGTCGCTGTCACGTGATTTAACACGATGGGCATAAATTAAGTCCTCTGCAGATATAACTATTCCCGTGTATTTGCCTATTGCAATAACGTAATCGGAAACAATTTCATTCTTTTTTTCGGGGATCTGAGAGATCTCAATATTCATAGCGCGATCACGTTGCTGCATGAAGTTATATTCATTTCGCAAAGATTCATATTTATCTTGTAATTCCGATATATTTTACAGCAACAGATCAACCTTTTTGATCTCCGATACCACATCGTCAATACGTGTTGTCAGCTGAATGATAATTTAATGAGTTTTTCAATTCGGAAATATCATTCATCATTTCACTATGCTCGCGAGTGATTTTCACAGTACTGATTTTTATAGATTCCAGCTGTTCTCTTATAATCGTGACGTCGTCTTTTACTCCTTTAATTTGTGACACTTCATCTTTCAAACTTTTAAACGCTTTCTTCTGTGAGTTCCCAAAATTATTGAAGAATTCCATTATTTCAGTTTCTAATTCTGTCAGCTGAGAAGACGACACGAAATCTGCATCTATTTGTTTACGTCTTCTATGTGTTATTTTATGATAATCGTTAGTAGGTAGATCGGTGTTAGAGCCGCTCTTAGATTCACCACTAAAAGGTGAGCCCGTTCTAGAACCGGGTGGTGACCGCTTCACGCTCATGTTAAGATGGTCAACGAGTATTAGCACCGTGTATGTAAAAATATGCGTGTGCGCAGGAAGAAAAATCGCTGGTTGTCTCCTTTACTCGAGGGGGTGTGGCGAAGAGCAGCACTGTAGCACGTCGCGTCGCAACGTTGTATTACGCGGTTATAATAGGAATTAAGTATCAAGAAACTTTTATAGCTAGGTTAAACTTTATGCACCATTACATTAAATTCCAAATATATCACGTTAAAATTAAATTTTATAATTAGCTAGAACAACACACGACACGACTACTTCTGACTGCGCGTGCACGCGAAGATAAAGAAGAAGTTATTATCAACAAGACATTATTATAATAAAAAAATACTCACCATTTGTCCTAGCTATGTCAGGTATCTGTTTCGTTTTGTGTTCATTGTCCACAAACATCTCCAGAGCCAGCTCCTGTCCGACTTCCAGCCTCTCTATCAAGTCGTTCTGTCTGGTTAATTTGATATATTCAGCGCTCAGAGTGTGCATTTCCTGTGGAGTGGGCTTCCAATCCGGGAGGGTTGGGAGGTCCACGTCGTAGATGAAGGATCCACTACGAACTGGTGGCAAATGAATATAATATTAATTTTTTAATATACTATTAACCTATTAGTAAGCTGAAGTGGCAATGAGACAACCATATATCTCGAAGAAACAACAACCGATGGGGGGAAAGATTCTCAGGTGGCAGCCTCGTACCGGTAGGCGTAGTGTAGGGTGACCCACTCTAGATGGAGTGCCGACCTGGTAAGATATGTAGGTTTTTGATGGATGCAGGTGGCTCAGGATTATATTTTGTCGCATTTCTTAGGGGAGGCCTGTGTTCAGCAATAGACTTTTATATGCTGTAATGGATGAAAATGGATAATATACTTCAGGGTTGACCTATATAAATCAAAATTAAAATGTCCGTGTGAAAAAAATATTATGAAACTACTAAAACGAAATTCTAGTTGCAACTTTAAACTTGTGTATACCTTAGATCACTAAAAGGGTAAATTGAACTTTAAAAAAATTAAAAACAGTTCTTTTAAAAACTTACTATATTAGTAAAAAAAAACGACGGGTTGCACTCCGGGAGTGCCAGCAGAAGTGAAAACTTGAATATTAACTTTCAATTAATAAAAAAGATTAGGGAATAATTTTGCACGTATTGCTTTAATTATCACACACGAACATTCGCGCACCCCTGCGTCGCCTAACGGCGGCTCTACACGTTGGCCAACACAGTGGCGAATGTAGTTATGTAGTGGCGAAGATATTGGCCGAGAGTTTGTGACGGCATCCACACGTTGGAAGGTTGTTTAGTTTGCTTCGGTTCAGGCCAATGTGCGGACGAATTTATTTTATTTTAGACGACGGCTCCGTGATGCAGTGGTTTAGCAATGAGTGGCTGCGCCGGGGGCCGCGGGTTTGAATCCCGCACGGCGCAAGTATTTGTGTGTCCCACAAATAATTGTTCCGGGTCTGTATCTGTGTCCTTGTGCAATTTATATTTGTAAGCTGCCTCCACAATACAGGAGAAAATCCAAGTGTGGGGGTAACGTTTTTATAAAATAATTATAAAAGAATAGTGACTATTAATGGGGCTGTTAATAGATATACGATATACGATTCACTTTATTTATTCTTAACATGCATCATAAACTGGAATAAATACCATTAATTAGAACTTAACTAACTTTAAAGTTTAGCAAAACATGTACTTTTCCATCAGACATTTGATGTATATAAAAACACCTTATAATTTATTTGGTGATTTAATAATTTTTTTGAGAAAGACAAAAACAATAGCAATAAATATAATTAACACTGACTTAATAATAGGTACTAATTATAACTTAACAAGGACAAGGAAAGTGGTTCAAGACCACGCTTTGCGGCAGTCTGTGGAGGAGGATGTTCAGTAGTGCACTTGTGAACAGCTGTAATGATGATTATGATTCGAAAACTTGCACGATTAAATTATAAGAAATCGACGTTTATTTTATAGGATAGGGAGACAAGCGAGCACACAGTCCACCTCATGGTAAGTGGTTGCTGTGGCCCATAGACATCTACATCTATCCTCGATTACGAATCAAAATGCAGATGCGTTGTCACCCGTGAGGACCAAGATGAAATGCCTCGTTTCCTTTAAAAAGGGTCTCTAGTTCTCTACACTCACTATACACAGCATATCCATTAAGCTACTATTTTACGCTGATATTCCGTGAGAGCGTGGTCCTTCCCCGGTTGAGCCGACCCATTCGTGCTACAACTATACTTCTAATATAACTGCATGGTTCTACCACATATAAACGACGTACTTCATTTTTTTTTCATTTTAAAATCGTGCTCGTAATAATCTGATTGTAAATAAATGTTCATAATTTTTTTTTTGTTAAATAATTAAATCGCGCTAATTAAAGTAATAGGAATGTTTAAAGTTGAAACTGGCACTAAAAGGCTGGTAATCAGGGCATCCACCCTACAAAGCGTGAATATAAAATTTAAATCAGATGCGTTTAATCACTCTGGGAGCTTGTAGCAAACTAAACGCGTGCCCAACGTATGGACGCGGCGACGGCAGGCATACATTTTCGCCGCGCCGTAGAAAGAGAGGCGGATACTTCCTCTCCTACGCTGCGCCGGCTGTCTCTCTCTCTTCATCCTTACGCATTTTCGATCAGGGTCACGTGTCCTGACGCGAGTTTAACATTTTTTACCCATTACAAAAAAGTGTACAACGCTGCTAAAGAAATTTTCACTTCAATAATCGAAATCGGGACTCTCATAGTTCTTCAATATGAGAGAGGCCTATGTTCTTAGACTTTTATAGGCTGGAATATCTTACTTACTGTCAGGGCCAGGAAAGCTGTGTAATTTTACTGCGACATTGTCCTTGAATGCAACAGTAGCACACGCTCCAAGCATAAACGAACATGTCCGCCAAAACGCCTTATTTACTTGCTGAGGTTCCGGTATGTTGAATGTCTGGAACTGAAAAGAAGAAATAATGAAAACTCTTTGATAATTGATTTATTATTGTAGAGAACCCATCTCTTTTTACTCGAAACGAAGCATTCTGTCTTAGTTTAGATAACAACATTTCTTACATAATACCAGCATAAAATAGCAGCTTAATACTGTTGTGTTTTGTATAGTGAGTGTACAGATCCAGAGACCCTTTTTTACTGGAAATGGAAACGAGGCATTCCATCTTAGTCCTTAGGGGTGACAACATATCTAACATTATGATTTTTAATCGAGGATAAATGTAGTTGTTTATGGGCCACAGCATCCACTTACCATCAGGTGGTCTGTGTTCTCGTCTGTCACACTTATTCTATAAAAAAATCTGCATTTTGATTCTTAATCCAAGATAATGATGTTTTTGAACCACAGCATGCTCTTACAATTGACATGTTCCTTACCGTGAGCTGTGCGCTCATTTGTCCCTTTTGAAACATCTAAAAACTAAGATGAATGCACACATCCTGAAATCATACTGGCTCTAAATAATATTTGCGCATGGCAGCAGATACACGCAAGATGGTGGTGACTACCCAGACAAACTCTTAGTCAGGAAATGAGTCTAAGTTTTTATACCAAGAAAGTCTCAGTAGCAACCCAGTTTTAGGAAATTAACGGTGGTTAATCCCCATGCCTCAGAAAGCAATGTAAAAATAGTCCTGCGCCTGATTTCTCTCCAGTTGTTTCAGATTGCAAGATATAAGATTATGGGAGTGAGGGAATGCATTCTTGTGGATACACTCGGGTACTATAATTCAATGCTGTGCAAATGATTAATCTCCAATATGATTGGCCACCATGACCGTTTAGTCTGGAGTACTTTATTATGCATAGTCTTTAGTGTTAAGGTTGCAATGGTATAACTCACCTCTAATGTGCAGCTCTCTGTTAGAGGTCTATGCATATCCCAATACATACTGCCATCTACAAGAGCCAAAGCACTACTTTCCATATGCCATTCACTGAAGTCTGAAAAATTATTATTTAAAAAACAATCAATGAAATCTAAATGGATATCTAAATGATATCTAAAAGAATATAAATGCTAGATGCATCTATTTGGTGTGGATATAAAAGGAATATGATGGTTTTTTGTACGGCTTGGTTTCAACTGCTCCATGGTGCAGTGCAGTGCAGACACATGTTCAAATCCTGCATGGAACAAGTATTTGTATGAGCTACAATTAATTGTTCTTTTTGTGCAATTTATGTCTGTAAACTGCCTCCACAATACAGGAGAAAATTGTAATGTTTTTTTAAACTCTTGGACAAGGCCATAACAACCAACAACCAATAAGAGGAAGCTATCTAAAACTGCTGAATTTAACATACATAACAAGGGTGACGGAATTGATTTTGAATACAAATCAACCTGCTTATGCATTCTCAAAAAGACCTAGGTGCAGTTGTGAACTAAAACTAAAAAATATATATAAATCATTTTCTTTTTTAAATCTTGAGCCCACTAATGAACATAAATCTATGTATGGTCATCAATCAGGGTCCTAAGCCAGAGCAACCATAGATATAAGTTTTCAATAAATATTATAACTTAACAATATTTGTCATATGTTAGGTTGTTCAATTATAATAGATAGTTCCCATTTGGCGAAACTTGGAAATATTAGGAAAATAGGGAATAAATAAAAATATAAGTAATAAATGGGTTAAAATTTAACCTAATGTCTGATATTACAAAATTATTTGGACAAGATAAAATGACAATTTATAATACTTACGTCTTGCGCAGTCGTACGGTGTAGAAATATCCTTATTCATAACTAAAGTGCAATCTTTGGGAATTCCCTTATACCTTACTTCAATCTTTTCTATTCTGCCTACGTTCTCCAATTGCCGCTTCTTCTCTAATGTAAACAGATGATGCCGTCGTTCTATAGCTTCTTGAGTACTTAAACATCCTTAAAAGAAAATATGTAATTATACAAATATTTAAGCAATTTATAGAAAACTTTCAAAAATCTAAGCCAGATTACATACTGATAGCTGTAAATCCTTTTATATTGCTTTGACGCAAATTTAGTTGTAAAAATTGTGTAAGAGGAAGCTTCATTGTATCTGAATTTTAATAATAAAAATATAAGGCAATAAAAATAAACAATTTTAGAGGTTACGTTATCCCCCACAGTTTGACAGTGTTTTTTATACTTTACGGCTCTGGGTTCTAGCCTTTCTGAGCCCATAATTTCTTTCGAAATCTTTATTTTTATATTCTTTTTCTTCACAATATGCGATGTGTCACATATCGAAGCCCTTGGGAGATTTTGACGACAGCTCAACCCAGTGGACAGTTGATGACGGCAGCCATCAGCCACTCAAGTTCATGAGGCGCCCAAGAGATCAAAATAACTTGAGGTTTACATCGACATCAAAGCACTTGTTTCGTCGTTTTCTCTAATAGTTCACACGCGCCCACACTTAATTCACAAAATCGAATCACTTTTACGAATCAAAATCCACTTCAAATCATTATTTATGCGACAATCCGTCTACCAAGTTCCCGCCAAAACTCTCTTTGACATTGTATGTTAACAGTTATCAAAGAGTTGTTTTTATGATCCTCTAATTAATATAGACCTAAGATCATACAGCCTATAGGAATTTGGGGTCAAACCACACGTACCACAACTATAACCACACCACAACACGTGGGCCGGCGCACTTTGTATTGGAATTGAATAGTACAATTTACATGTACCACATTTTGTCGTCATTATCAACTGCGTGAGAGATGCCGACCACAACGCAACTACGACGCAAACACTACGAAACTACACGGAAATAGCAGCCGGCCACATTGCAAACACAATATTGCATCGACGTCACGGCTAGACGCTATTCACACGTGATCACATTTTGTCGCTGCGATGTGGTTGTGGTACGTGTGGTTTGACCCTTATAGTTTGTTAACAAAACTTTTTATAATAATTATGCTCATGCGGCACATTGCGAAGTTCTTGGATGATGATTATTGCTTTTAAGCACTGAAATTCCTTTGAACTATTATTTTAACAATAAAACAGATGCAACAATCCACCGGCAGTTGTGTTGACGCAGTTTTAGTTATAGTTTTATAGGAAACCTAAAAATAAAATCCTATACCTTTAAACGAGCAATTCTTGTATATATATATTTTATATATATATATATACACATATATATATATATATATATATATATATATATATATATATATATATATATATATATATATATATATATATATAATCGGAATCTCGGAAATGTCTCCAACGATTTTCATAAAATTTTGTGTCCAGGGAATTTCGGGGGCAATAAATCGATCTAGCTAGGATTTATTTTTATAAAATGTTTTTTGTCCGTCTTTTCAGGTAATGAAAAACTGTATATAAGATATATAAGAAGGTAAATTTTGACACTATGTTAATGATCGTAATGGCTCAAGTGGATATCGAGCGGCGGCGAAATTTTAATTCCTTGCTTCGCGTTCCAACTTTGTGAGAAAATCTATTATTTCGAGCCCTTTTTTTAGAATTTTTTAAAAATACGAAAATTTTAATTAAACTAATGTACTCATGATTTTTTATTTAAATAACCAGTTCAGTTTTTTCCATTATGTCAATAAGATCAAAAAATATCATTCATCAGTATGTAATTTGTATCTAAATGTAATTTCAAAATACCGAGCACAGCTCGGTCATCTGGGTACTAAAAGAATAATAAGCAGATTTAAACATAAAAATTTTGCCTAACTATAATAACTTATATATGTTTCTACAAAAAATGTGTATAATAATATTATATTCGTCCTATACTTAAGTACCCACAGAAATGTCGCATCTGAACCATCTGAACATATTAATTTCACAATCTATATTCCATGACACAAGATATCGTCTTAGGAATAATTTGTTTAATTATTAATCTATAATACTTTTTTATTGATTAAGTATCTTATTCACCGATGAAAAGTAATTCCTTGGTTTTTACTTGAATTATTTGTGCAATATCTAAGTACACACGACGGCATATTTTTATCAAGAGATTTTTTTTAAATCAACACAACACGTGACAACTTTACAAGCGCCTAGGGACTGACTGATTAAAGTGCGGTGTATGCACCGCAGTTGAGTGGAACAGAGTAACTGAATGCAGTGTCGCCTCTAGTAAGTAGTACATAATAGCTCAATGCATATCTACATTACATACTTGTATTATAATAGCTAAGGTATATGTGACGTTACTTTACAAGACATGAAATCTTTAATGGTTAATCTATAGTGATTTCTTTCGCAATTTTAGCAAAAATCAACATCGATATACTTGTTTTTGTTTAGTTATTTATTTTTATTACTTTACGATGTGTCTAAAATTATAAAGAATATAGACTAGACTTATGAATATTCGATAGATCAAGTAAATTGTTTTCTAAATGTAGTGATGATGTTTATTATACTACATTGGAAATATTCGTTCCGCAAACTTTAAAAACGAATAGTAAGGGAGGTATGAATATTAAGTTTTGACGGACATACAATACACACTTTTATGATCCCAATTTTATATTCTTACTAATCACCGGCCTTTACGCGGCTGCTTCGCGCAACTGTTTTCTAGATCTCGTCATCTGAGGATCTCGACAACAGCGCTACTTACCGAGTCTTTGAGTATTCAAGGATCCAATTGTAAATGCGGTACGTTTACACCAAAACCGATTTTGTAAATCGATAGCGAACAGAACTACCCGGACGAGTAACTCGGACGTGTATGTGCTTACACTGCAACTTCTTTTCTATTTTTATATTTTCAATATCCATAGTCGTTTAGGTAGATAACAACACTGTCAGAAACAACAGAATAAAGACAAAATGATTAAATTAAACTATAAATACACTTAATTTGCAATGTAGACACCGGTAGTCAGGCGAAAAATTTCAACAAGTTCGGGCTCTATGGTTGATCGGCCGTTTTCGTGCGTTATTGGATTGGACGGTCGTGTTGGTGTAAGCGCTCTCTTTGTTTTACAAGTGTTTGATTCGATCGTCCGAGTTCGGCCATTGTCGCCCGAGCAAACTTCGGCCGATGACGGATTTGGTGTATGAGAAGCGTGAGAGTTCATCAAAATCGGTCCAACCGTTCTCAAGTGATGAGCTTACATACATGCGATAATTTATTTTAATTTATATATAAAACCACTTGCTTAGCGGAACGTCATCGTCTATATCAACAAAACTTTATCTGCTTGATAATAAATATCTTGAAATCATGAAGTGAGGGCAGGATCTGCTGGCGATCTTCTGGTCTACCTGACTCATAGATGGGCAACGGCAGTAGAGTTCAAGGGGGAGGCATTGGCCGATAGTTTGGACATTGCGAAGGCCTTCGATCGGGTTTGGCACAAAGCGTTTCTTTCGAAGCTCTCTTCCTATGGGCTTCCCGAGAAATTTTGCAATTGGATCACCAGCTTTCGATTTCATTTTCATTCCAGCAGTCATTGTAGACGGTGCAAGCTCCGATTACAAGCCTATTAATGCTGGTGTTCCAGAAGGCTGCGTGCCACCAACGCTGTTTCTTCTGCACATCAACGATATGTTGCAAACTGAAACATTCATTGCTATGGAGATGACAGCACTGGTGATGCTCTGTACACTGGCTGTACCAATATTTCTCGGGAAAACGTCTCCGAGTACCGAGTCAAACTTGTGTCTGAAGTCGAGTCTTTTCTGAACAAAGTCTCGGATTGGGGGCGACTAAATCTAGTCCAGTTTAACCCTCAGAAGACACAAGTTTGCGCGTTAACCGCTAAAAAGAACCCCTTTGTCGTATCTCCTCAGTTTCAAGGCACTCCCCTTGTTGGCCTCAGCCAGTATCGGAATCCTCGGCGTCGACATATCGAGTGACGTGCAGTTTCGTGGTCACTTGGAAGAGAAGGCCAAATTGGCCTCTATAAAGCTTAGCGTGCTCAGCAGAGCGGGACAGTATTTCATGCCGGCACACCGCCTGCAACTTTACAAAGCGCAGGTTCGGCCGCACATGGAATACTGTTCCCATCTCTGGGCTGAAGCTCCCCAGTACCAGCCTTCCATTTGATATCATCCAGAGTGGCTCGAATCTTCGGCGACCAAGTGCTTTCCGATCGGCTCGATTCACAGGCGCTGCGAAGAGATGTTGCATCTCTTTGCGTATTTTATCGCATCTATCACGGGGAGTGCTCTAAGGAATTGTGCGGATTTATCCAAGCTGCTAAATTTCATGAACGCACTACGCGGCTAACCTCTCTATACCATCCACACCATCTATATGCTTGGCGGTCCATCACTGTACGTTTCAGTAGTTTTCTTCCGCGTGCGACCTCTCTGCGAAATAGTTTACCACCGGCGATTTTTCCGGACAGATACGACCTGGGGACCTTCAAGAAAAGAGCTTACTCCTTTCTAAAGGGCCGGCAACGCACCTGCAATTCCTCTGGTGTTGTAGATGTTCATGGGGTGAACCGTATGCTCGTTTGTTAGATATCTACATAAGATGGGCAGCAGCGTCTTCCTGATCATAGCTCAAAATAATAAAAATATGCACATGGCAACTGGCATGCCAAGCGTGGCATTATGGTAAATATCTAACTTATTTGGCAGTCTGTGAAGGATATCCAGTTGATAAACGGGAGTAGAAACAATATATTAAACATGTAGAGACGGCGAAAAAGAAACCACTACCTCATTTCGTCCGTGGATGTCTTAAGAGGCGACAGAGGGAAACTGAAACAGGAGATGGGTAGCATCTTCTTGTAACAGCACAAAGTAATAAAGAGCTGCGATTGCCAACCCGCTTGGCAAGCGTGAACACTACTGCAAATATCCGGTCTTTTTGACAAACAATGGGGGAAGCCTATGATCAACAGTGAATAGCCCTATCAAAAGTAAAAAAGTAGCAGCCTAAATACTTCCCACTACCGGGCACAGACCACAGCAAGTTTTAGGTCAAAAAGGAGTTGATTAAGTTGACTCCAACGCGGGATGACACATCACATACCTATACCTAAAAATAATTTCTCAGATATGCAGGTTTCTTTGCGATGTTTT